CTCCCTCCCTCCTCCCCTCCTCCCTCCTCCCTCCTCCCTCCTCCTCCTCCCTCTCCCCTCCTCCCTCCTCCTCCTCCCTCCCTCCTCCTCCTCCTCCTCCTCCTCCTCCTCCTCCTCCTCCTCCCCCCTGCTGCTGCTGGGCGGGCGGTAGTGGGGGGGGGCCCTACTTGGGGGTGAAGAAAAGCGCTCCTCTTTCTTCACACCCCATGTGGCCCCCCCCCCTTTACCACAGGCCCGAGGAGGACTTCCGTCTTGTTGTTGTCACTACGTCGTTCGTTGGCAAGTGATGGGGGCCTTCCGCGCCATCTTGCTGGCTCTGGCGAGTCGACGATGACAGACGCGAATCGGTCCTAATCGACGCTCGTCGACGCCAATCCAAGCTGAATCGACGGGAAGGAACGCGAAATCGACGCTGGTCGACGCTAGACCCAGACAGCGCTATATCGGCGCTCTCTCATCGAACTTCACGCGCTCGCGCACGCCAATGCAGCCTACACACCTAATGACAAGACTACCGCATACGGCAGCTTCGTGCCGTGTCGACCCGGGCGTTGGTTCCTGACGCCGCGGGGATCGTTCAACCTTGAACGATCGGCCGTTTCCGCAGCGTCTGATCGTTCAATGCGACGCACAGAAACATACTAATACTAGATGTCCTCCTTGGAGGCGCGCGTCCGACCCGAACATATAGTGTACCCATATTGTAGTATATCGTTTCCCGTGCTGTGTGGCCAGCAAGCGAACGCCACGACGCATATATTGTCAGATTTCTCGGTGCGCGCGTCGCCCCTGAGGGGGCGACGCACACATAGTGTTGGTATTTTGGGGTGACGCCGAAATTCAACATCGACCGATTCTGGGCCGTCGCCGGTCGACACGACACGAACCTAACGTACTAGAGGCCTCCTAGATGGGGTCCGAGTAGATGGGGTCGGAAGATCGCGCAGCATCGGCGATGCATTGGCGATGCATCGGTGATGCACCGGCGATGCATCATCGACGTCTGCGATGCATCGGCGACGTCGACGCGAAGCAAACCGGGCTGTACACCGAGCTGCATCGGCGACGCATCGGCGATGCGGCGCGACCCTCCGACCCCATCCACTCCGAACCCGTCTCGGAGGCCCAGACGTATACTGCGGGTGTCCGGGGCCACCGGCCGAGGAGAGTCCGAACCCGGGCGACGGCTGGCAAACCCGTGGCTGCTAAAACGGAGCTCCGGGAAATTGCTTGTGTTCTTCCGGGAAGCAGCCCGTTGACTATTCAGCGCGGTGAGCTTGATTCCGGGAATTTGCTTTGTCTTCCTGGAAGCCACGGGCAATTGTTTGCTCTCTTGCGGGAAGCAGCCCGTTGACTATTCAGTGCGGTGAGCTAGATTCCCGGAATTTGCTTTCTCTTCCAGGAAGCCATGGGAAATTGTTAATCCTCTTCCAGGAAGCAGCCCGTTTCTTGTTCGGTGCGGCGAGCTCGATTCTAGGAAGTTGTATGTTTTTTCTTCTGGGACGACCGTCTATTGGCAGCCACGGATCTGCCATCCTCCTCCTCCTCCTCCTCCTCCTCCTCGTCCTCCTCCTCGTCCTCCTCCTCCTCCTTCTCCTCCTCCTCCTCCTCCTCCTCCTCCTCCTAGCCCCCGCCCAGCTCGCAGGCGGCGGCGGCTTTCGCCGGCCCCCGGGCGCGCCCATCTGCGCGCGGGGCCCCGGGCGCGGAGCAGCCCTCCCGAACCGCCCCGCGCGGGGCGCCCGCGCGCGCCGCGCGCGCCGCGCGCGCGCGCGCCCGGGCGCGCGCGGGGCTCGAGCACGCGCGCGCGCTCGAGCCCGCGCGGCTCCGCGCGGAGGTGGCGGGGCCAGACGGGGGCGAGGCGGGCGCCGCTCCAGCGCGCCGAGAGGGAGGGAGGGAGGGAGGGAGGGAGGGAGCGAGGGAGGGAGGAGGGAAGGAGGGAGGAGGGAGGGAGGGAGGGAGGGAGGAGGCGGGAGGAGGAGGACCAGCGCTCGACTTGGGGGTGCTGGGTGCTCGGCGCGCCCACGCGCCGAGTCAGCAGCACTGGCTGCCGATTATGACATCCACGCGGCCCGCGAGGGGCCTTTCAGCAGACTCATTGCAGGAGAGCGGCGGCCACTGCAACGTAGGGGCTGCTGTCGCGTGCGGCCAGTGCTCTGAGACTGGCGATCCTCGGGGGCGGCCAAGAGGGGGGCGTCCACGAGGGGGGGGCGCAAGTCATGGCCGGCGGCACGTGCGCGGCCCAAGGGGGGCCAGGGACGTCATGACATAAGAAGAGGCGCCATGAACTCTGGGGAAATACCATGGCCCACGCCACGAGATCCACCCCCCCTAGTCATCACCGCCCTCTTTGCCGCTCCCAGGGTACAATCGATCAAAGGGCACGGAAGGTCGGAAGACCACGTCTACAGCAGCTCCGCTTTGTCCGCTTTGGGGGCGTTGAAGTCCGAGAGCCTTCGCACTCGGAAAGCCAGCAGTGTGGGCGAACAGGCGGCCTCGGGCACTGGCCTCTGCGTACGAGCCACGCGTGCTGCACTACATGGTGAGGGCATCGGAGAAGGAGTCGTTGGAGAAGGAAGCCGGGGTCGGGAAGCTGGCGGAATTCCAGTCGTGAGCTGGCCATGGAGAACACCGCCGCCCTCATCAGACAAGGAACCCTCCAGGGTCTGACGCCTCCTGGGCACGTTCCTTAACGAACGCCCCCGCCGTATCGAGGTACTCGAGGTGGTGAGGTACTCGAAGAACAAAAAAAATGATGGCCTCGGGCATTCTGGGCAGGGGAGGCCATTCCTGTGCATCACCCCCGGCACACCTCCTCTCGACGTTTGAAATACTGGGCTTACTTCTTGGCTCGCGTTCGACAGACAGTGCATAGATGCGAGCCGCTAAACTGTTCCCAATTGTGGGGGCCGCCCGGGCCTCGGGACAGAGGGGAAGGAGCCCGACGAAGGAGGCCTCGGAGGCGGGGCTTCGGCCCCAGGGCCCAAGGCAGGAAGGGCCGACGCGGCCCCTCTGGGAGGGCTCGGGCACCGAGAAGCCTCTTGGCTGCCAACCGCGGCTTCCGTCAACGACCGGGTCACCCTTTGGAGCGGGGGGAGGGGACGTATCGAGCCACCCTGCCGTGCTGGGGCTGTCTCGGGGCCGTCTTGGAGTCCGGTGGGGACGCCTTGTGGCTCATGTGGGCCGCTTCGTGGCCCGGATCGTGGGGCGACGTTCCGAGCCTCCTGGGCGGCCCCGGAGCGCCCAGAAGACAGAAAAGGCTGGTGGCTAGAAGGCACGCAGCACCAAAGAACAAAAGGAATCCAAATATCTTTTGACTGGGAGGGGGGTCTTTAGAGGGTCGTCGTCTGGTCGTCTTTGAACGTTTGGGGGCCCGTTGTCTGAGCGCAGCAGGGACGTCCGGGAGGCCCAGGAGCCCTGGGGGACCCGGTGCAGGGGCGTCCAGGAGGTCGTGGGGCCTGGGATTGGGTGGTGGGTTTTTGCTTGCCCGTGTGTGGTGGGGGGCCAGTGCTCGCCCTCCCTCCTCCCCCCCGTGGCCCGCCCCGCACTTCCTGTTCCCCCCTCCTGCATGCTGGCGCATGTTGGCCAATTCGCTTTGTTGTGCCCCTGCATCGCTGCCACGCTGGAGCGGATTGTCCCGCCTCGTCGCCGACGGAGGTGTGTGGTGGGCGGCTTGCGGGACTACCAGGCGGCGAGGCTTTGGCTTCAGCAGCGGGTGCCAGTCCTGAGCTCCCAGGTCGCAGTCACAGTTCCAGTGAAGTGACCAAGTTCCACTGATACTGTTATACTTCCTGCTCACTTGCTCCTGTAAGCTGCGACCGATCCGCGCCAGGAGGGGAACCGAAAACCATCCTGGTTTCCACGGCATCCCAGGGTTATCAGACTTCCTCGGGGGCCCTGGGATATGCACAGATACATGAGATTCGTGTCTGGAGGGCCAAATTCTTCGCAAATTCACCAGGATTACGCTCCCGAAATCACAGCCCCTGGAAAATAACATACCTGATTCGCGCCCTCGCGGCCAGGTTCCCGTGTATATCACGTTGTTTTGCGCTCCCGATGCCAGAAGCCGTGCTAGAGTACGCCAGGCCCGCGCTCCCGAAGCAAGAATCCCTCGTACCTTGTGATAGGAGTCGCGCTCGCGAGGCCAGGTTCCCTCACGAATTACCGCCGACCAGACTCGCGCTCCGAGGAGGGAACGAAGCGTTCCACAACAGCCCCAACGTCGCAAGGCGTCTGCTGAATGCCAACCGCCCTCGCGTGATGGTCCGAGGAGCTGTCAGAGCAGCGCCGACACGCCCCGGCACAGCTCTGTGGGGGCTGGCAGAGGGACGAGCCCCCACGGATATCTGCACGGAAGCACACTTCTCGACTCGTGATGCCTGCGGGCACTGGCAGGCACGCCCGACATCGGATCGGCAGCTCGGATCGGTGATCGAAACGGGTCGGATCGGCGGGGATCGGCGGCCGAGTCGATGGAGAAGTCGGGTCGGCGGAGCAATCGGCAGGCTGGCAAGCCTCCACCGAGAACTCGGAGCCTAGATCGACATCCGAAACCGAGCCGAACTCCGCAGCGGAACGCACCGAAAAACCGGCTCGAACCGAAGCGGAGGAGTCGAAAGGAGCCCTGCTGGGCGCCTTCCCCGCCCTCCTCCGTGCCTTCGGGCCCCGGCTCGTCGTGGTGAGGGGCCGAGCGCGCGCGCGCTGGGCGCGTGCGTGCGCGTGCGTGCGCGTGTGCGTGTGTGCGTGTGTGCGTGTGCCTGTGCGTGCCTGTGCGTGCGTGCGTGTGTGTGTGTGTGTGTGTGTGTGTGTGTGTGTGTGTGTAAGTGTGTGTGTGTGTGTGTGCGTGTGTGTTTGGTGTGTGCGTGTGCCTGTGTGCCTGGGTGTGCCTGTGTGGGGGGCTTTGTGCGTGTGTGCGGCTGTGCGGGCAGGGTGTGTGCTGGCCGCGCTGGGCGCGGCGGCTGGTCGGCGGCGGCGGCGGGCGGGAGGCGAAGGGCCGCTGCCTTCCAGCCCGCCTCCTGCGCCACGAGCTCGGCAGCCTGGCGAGCCGGGCGCGGAGGGGCCCAGGCTCTCCCCTGACCCAGGCCGGCGAGGAAACAGGCGGAGGAGGAGGGAGAGCAGGAGGAGGAGGATGAGGAGGAGGAGGAGGAGGAGGAGGAGGAGGTGAACGTATGAGGAGGAGGATGAGGACGAGGATGATGATGATGATGATGATGCTGGTGCTGGTGCTGCAGCTGCTGCTGCTGCTGCTGATGATGATGATGATGATGATGATGAGGAGGAGGAGGAGCAGGAGGAGGGAGATGAAGAGGACAAGACCGAGAAGGAGAAGGAGGGCTAGAAAGAAGGAACAGAAAAAGGAGGAGAAGGTTAAACGAAGGAGGCGGAGGATGAGGAGGAGGAGGAGGAGGGAGAGGAGGGGGAGGAGGAGAAGGAGGAGGAGGAGGAGGAGGACGAGGAGGAGGAGGAGGAGGAGGAGGAGGAGGAGGGGGACGAGGAGGAGGGGGACGAGGAGGAGGAGGATGATCAGGAGCGGAGGAGGAGGAAGAGGAGGAGGAGACGGATGATGATGATGATGATGATGATGATGATGATGATGATGATGATGATGATGATGATGATGATGATGATGATGATGATGATGATGATGATGATGATGATGATGATGCTGATGCTGATGATGATGATGATGATGATGATGATGATGATGCTGATGATGATGATGATGAGGAGGAGGAGGGAGGAGGAGGAGGAGGGGACGAGGAGGAGGAGGAGCGGGGGAGGACGAGGGTGAGGAGGAGGGAGGAGGAGGGGGAGGAGGGGGGAGGAGGAGGAGGAGGAGGAGGAGGAGGAGGAGGAGGAGGAGGGAGGAGGCGGAGGAGGAGCAGGAGGGGAGGGAGGAGAAGGAGAGGGAGGAGAAGGAGGAGAGGGAGGAGGAGGAGGAGGAGGAGGAGGAGGAGGAGGAGGAGGAGGAGGAGGAAAAGGAGGAGGAGGAGGAGGAGGAGGAGGAGGAGGAGGGAGGAGAAGGAGGAGGAAGAGAGGATGTAAACGGAGGAGGCGGAGCGGGGCAGGAGGAGGAGGAGGAGGAGTAAGAGGAAAAGAAGGATGACGGAGGAAGATGAGGTCGCAGGGGGAGGGCGACAGGCGAGGAGGAAGCAGAGGAGGGCAAGGCGGTCGAGGGCGAGGAGATGGCAGAGGAAGAATTGGGGCTCTTCCCCAAGTGATGCGGTCCTTCCTGAAGACATCCTCCGTGTCGTGGGCTTCGCCATCAGAGGCGGCGACGTGTACACTCCCTTGTGACTGCATGAATGTACGTGCGTTTATGCATGTGTACATGCACAAACACATATACATGTATACATATACATATATATGTAGATATAGATATACGTATCAAGAAAGATATGGCAGATGCCAGGAACCCTGAACCCACAAATGTTGTCATCTCTTGGGGGCGCATCTTTCGCTTCCGCCGTCCTTCCGCCGCCCTTCCGCCGGCGGAGCCGCTCTCGTCTTACTCCCGCCACCATTCCGCCGCGGGAGCGATGACGACCCCCTCGACCCTCGCAGGCGAGGCCCTTTTGTCGAACGGCCCATATAGAGCGAGAGAGAGAGAGAGAGAGAGAGGGAGGGAGGTCTTCGTCGGAAGGACTAAGGAAGACTAAGCCCCATTGCGGGGGCTGTTACGCCAAAATGGGCCTCGGATTAAACGGGATCGAGCTGGACTGAGCGGGATTGAGCGGGATGAAGCCGGATTGGGCGGGATGAAGCCGGATTGAACCGGATGTCGGACCAGGGCGAAATCTGATATTGACCTCCCAGGAGTTGCATCCGAAAAAGAGAGAGAGAGAGAGAGAGAGAGAGAGAGAGAGAGAGAGAGGAAGGGAGAGAGAGAGGAGGAGGAGGAGGAGGAGGCGGAGGAGGAGGAGGAGGAGGCGGAGGAGGTGGACGGAGGAAGAGGAGGACGCAGGAGCAGGGGGAGGAGGGCGACAGGCGAGGATGAAGCGGAGGAGGAGGGCGACAGGCGACAGAGAGAGACATGGAACATCGTGACGAGCGTCGTCCCCGTCTTCGGCGCCTCTGAGGGGCCCCCCTCGCCGAGTCCCGGGGCCGTGGGGCCGAGAGGCGGGAGGAGCACCTGGCCCCGGAGAGCTGGTCGGGGCTTCGTGGGGGGATGGCCTCCTCCCCTGCTTAGAATCCGAAACGTTCCAGGCTAAGACAATGAACTTCGCTCGGAGCGTTTTCTTGAACAGTTGTCCAGGTCCAGATCTGCGGACACTCTTCGATACAAGAAGCTCCAAGGAAGCGCCCAGGGTCCAGCCCAGTTGCCTGATTCTGTTTGAGCGGAGTCTGGAGTCCATGAAAGTTGATGTTTGTTCTGAATATTCCTGATGGGCATAAGGCATCGCGCCCCTGCGCAAACCCAAAGAACGAACCGAGCCGCGACAGCTGAAGAGGCGGCTCGGGACTTTTCCAGAAGGAAGGGGGAAGAGAAGGAGGAGGTACCTTGGGAGGGATATACTTACAAAACAGGAAAATAACATTACGCACAACTTCGACACACATAATCAACCTGGGTAAATTGAAGAGATCGCCAGAACCACCGTCAGTCAGCATCGGATCGAAACATCGGATTGCGCGGCGGGTCAGTCCACATCGGCACGCAACGAACCCCGAATCGGATCGGCTGTGCCCGAATCCGCAACATTGACGTGCGAATATCGAACACCATTTGATCGCCGGAAATGCAGCATCGAACGGGATGGAGCCAGCCAGAAGCGAGATCGAACCGGATCGCTCGGGGCGAGGCGGACCCTGTACGGAGACCTCCAGAGCTGCATGTCTTCGCAATGTGGGCCCTGGAATTCTCGACCCTTCCCTGGGACCGACTCTTCATCCCGAGCCGGTCTTTTGACGGCCACGGGGCCCGGCGAGGGCCGCAGCGACTCTTTCACGGCGAGAGGATGTTTGGGGATGGACCCTGCCAGAAGTCGAGTAGAAGATCGACTACAACATTGATGTACCCCAACATTCGGCTACACGCAGGAGTGACCCTGGGTAAGAGTGACCTTTGGTGGGCGGCCTTTGGGGGGCCGCGGGGGGGCCAAAGCTGGGCGCACAAACCGCTGCTCCTGCTTCGTTTTCAGCCATCTGGGGACCCATCTGTGCCCGCACCAAAGGTCACTCCGGCGAACGGTCACTCTACGTCTAGTCGAAACATTTGCGTTCTCGTAGAATTTACAACAGCTGCTGACAACGTTTCTAGATCTGCGGGCGGTCTACCTATTTTTCTCTCAGGTTCGACCAACAGTTCTTGTTGGACACATCCGCAGCCCCCCTGGAGGGGCCACCAGGCCGTGTGGACTAGGCTTCCCGCTCTGTGCTCCAGCTCCAGCTTCGAGTCTGCCATGCTGTAATCATCCCATCGCCCAGATTACTACGTCCGCATCGTCCGGCATTGGACCGCGCCCGGTTCGCGCTGCCTGAGCTCAAATACCTGAGACTCGCGCCCCCGAACCTACAATCCCTCTGCGATTGCACGGAGAGAGCCGCATCCTCCAGGCCAAGATCCCTGGTAGACTGCGCGACGCTCGCGTGTCCGAATCCATCGCCCACCACAAGCGCGTCCCCGAAGCCACGGCCCCCTGAAACTTTACACCGAGCTCGCGCCCCCGGGGCCAGGACCCCCGGCAAACTGCGCTGCCGTCGGGCCCCAGAGGCCACGAGCCCTGGGCAATTGCGCCATGGTCGCGCCCCCGATCACGCAGTCGTCGCGCTCCCGATGCGCGATCCCTGGCAGATCATATCAGATTCGGGTCCCCTGAGGCCACGATCCTCTCTGTGAATGACACCATGTCCGCGCCCCCGAAGCCACGATCGTGTGCAAGTTGCGCCGTACTCGCGCCCCCGAGGCCTGCAACTGACGCAACGTGCACGTCCCCGAGGCCACGATCTCTGGCAAATTACGCGACGCTCGCGCCCACGATGCTCTTCCGAGGCAACGATCCCTAGTAAATCACCTCATGCTCGCGTCCCTGAAGCCACGACCCCTGGTACATTATTCCATATGCGAGCTTCCGAGGCCACGATCCCCTTTTACAAATCGCGCAAAACTCGCGTCTCCGAGGCGGCGATCCCTCGTACATGTCGCGAACTTCGCGCGCCCGAGGCTACCATCCATCGTACATTGCTCGAAGTTTGCCACGATCGCAAGGGAATTATACCCTGCTCGCGTCCCCGACGCCACGATCCCTCAAACATTACGCCGTATTCGCGTCCGCGTGGCCACGATCGCTAGTACATTACACCGTACTCGCGTCCCCGAGGCCACGGTCTCTGGTAAGTTATGAAATATTCGCGCCGAGGCCACGATATCCAGTGAACCACGCCGTACTCGCGCTCCCGACGCAACGATTCCTAATGCATTGCGCCCTATTCGCTTCCCCCAAGCCGCCGTCCCTCATGAAACGGCAATCGCAGAAGAAGCCAAAGACCGTCAAGGCCGCGCGATTGTTCCCAACGTAGCCTCAAGAAACCCACAGTCGCTCCAAGAGGGCACCCGATACACAACGCGAGTGGCAATTGTAAAAAGGCAGCACCGATTTCAATACTATCATATGAATATCATCTGTTTTGAAAATTACCAGTCGTCCGCGCACTCGGTTTCCGATACTGCTTCACGACGGCGCCCAGGCATCCCCACATAGCTCCTTCAGGTCCCATTGTGTTCGGGAGGTGGCCAGCGGTAGAGGTCGCAGCCCTCAGGGATCTGTTGCGCGGGGATGAACAGAAGAGGGCGCCCGATCCCAGGCCCCACCGCGGAGGCGACCAGCTCGCGGTTCCTCCTCCCGAGCCAGGCGCTGTACGCCAAGAGGCCCGCGTAGCTCAGCGCCGCGGCGACGAGACCGACGAGGCCCCTGCGCCACCCGCTCCCTCAGGAGATCAGCCCTCCCCCTCCTTCTCCAACTCCTCCTCCTCCTCCTCCACCTCCTCCTCCTCATCCTCCTCCGCCTCCTCCCCGTCCTTCTCCATTCCTTCTCTTCAAAGATAACTCCTCCCTGTCGCACCCCGAAACCAGTCAGAAGGGCGGGCCGGGCGTTTGGGCTGAGACCTCTTGGCCATTAATCGTCCAGAAGCATGAAAAAAAGGACAACACTTCACAGATGGAGGGCGGGTCGCTTCCAAATGTGGTTCTCGCCTGTGTGCCGCGCGCACTCGCCGTAAACCGATTGCAAGGGTTTTGCGGATTGAAGGTGGGCCGTTCTCAAAATTTGACTCTCGCGTAAACGCCGCGCGCACTCGTCTCAAACATCTGCAAAGGGTTTCGTGAGTTGAGGGCGGGTGGTTTTCAACGTGTGGCTCGGGCTGTAGCGCCGCGCGCACTCGTTTTGAACATGTGCCTGACTTTCGCGGCATCCCATGGGTAACGTACCACATCTTTGGTGTTGGAGCGATTCGGGAGAGTCAGTCAGGTCGCAACAATTACGTTGAGCCTCGGTGTTGAAGCTCCAGGACAAGGGGTCTGGCACAATTCAGGGTCGTCAAGAAACAACAGTCAAGTTGATTTGTGGCGTTGAAGTCCGGCGATTGGTGTTGTGGCACGCTTCCGGATCTTCAAACGTTTGTCTCCCAACGGGGCACTTCCCTCAGTGGAGATGAATCCGTGTGGGGGTCTGTCACCATGGAGTTTGGAAGGAGGGTTTACTCCAACATCGCTGGTGAATCTCAGGTTTGCACTGGTCCCCTGCCTCCTCCTCCTCCTCCTCCTCCTCCTCCTCCTCCTCCTCCTCTTGCGACTCGCGTGCGGTTCGCGACTCGAAAATGGGTTCGCCAGCTGGCCACGCCCATGAGTGAAACGCTCTGCGCAAGCTGCCCGTTGGGGGGTGGGGGGTTGGGAGGGGGGGAGGGATGGAGGATTAATTGAAGGGGGGGGGAGGACGGGGAGACAGTCTCCAGCCGAAAAGCCTACCCCTTCTGCTCTGCAGTGCGCAGCTTCGGCAGCCTGTCGGCCCTGGCCGGGGAGCTGGCGAGTAGAGGCCTTGGACAATGTGGGAGAGGATCCTCCGACTCCCCCGCCAAATCCTATACACGCACACGCAGAGGTGTCAGGCACCAACACCACACACTCAAGTAACTCCTCTATTCCTCCGCCACATCCAGGGGTAAGAGGGCGGGAGGACAGGACAGGGTAAGGGCCTACAGCTCCTGTTCCTGCGCTTGCTCGTGGTCGAAGCAGGGGACGCATGAAAATGAATGTGCATCCGATCATCCAGCCCCTATCTAAACAGAGCAACGGTCATTTACCAAATTACATGCACGGAATGATTGGAATGAGAGGGGCATCTGACCAATGTGCAAAAAGAGATCTGGAATCAACAATCATTTGCAAAACTGTGTCCTTATGAATGGTCGGCAGGAGAAGATTTGCCGGAACGTCCCAAACGATCACAATTCTCACAGGTTAGAAGCGATGCTTCCAAAACGCTGGCGGAGAGCGCAATCATTGCACTCTGTTGTTGCATCTCTTCCTTTGCTCTGCACGGGCCCAACGTGCGATGAAATGGGACCGAATCGATATTGCTGTCGGGCTCTTGCAGTACGCTGCGGTGTCTCCGGCAACGCGGGCAGCTTGTCGGCGTACTGCGCATCTCTGACTACCCGACGAATTGCATGAACAAGTTGACGATCCTGTAGCTTTGCCGCCACGACTGTATCCAGGCCCTCTTGCTGCCCAGCGACGTCATCTGCAAGGATGTGTTCAAAAGGTCCTCGGGGGAACCCTCGATGGCCTCGTTTGCCTCCTCCTCCTCCTCCTCCTCTTTCTTCTTGTGTGACTTGCGCAAGGCCGTGCTCTGTGCCATGCAGCTGTCGATGGGAGTCCACTTGAACTGGTCCTCTGCGACACCCTCGATGGCTCCCCATACACCTGTGAGCAAAAATGAGGGCACGTAAGACGAAGGAAACACATATGCAGCTTCAGCCTCAGATATTTCAGTAGAAATTGACTCCCGAAACGCATCTCTATGGCCTAGGACTTCGGGGCCCAAGTACGTGGGAACAAACGAAGGCGCATCTGCCCTCATGTCACCCTCTGCGCTGCCTACTTCCACATGCTCCGCTGTCGCCTCAAGCCGAGGCCCGTGCTGGGCTCGGCGGAGGACGTCTGGTCCCTCCTTCGCGACAAGTATGCCCTGCGCGTGTGCGTGCAGAGCCGCGTTGCGGCGGAAGGTATCCAGCCATGATGGTGCTCTCCCTTCCAGCCTCGCAATGAAGGCAAGGACCAATGCATGCAATCTTTGGGCGACTTAACTATCACCCGCTAGGCTGCCGAGGGCTAACTCAACTCCGCAGCTTCGTGGTGGTCGTTGACTCGCTTGAGTTCCCTTGATAGTTCCCTTGATAGCTTCGCCGCAGCATTGTCTGCAGGCCACCGCGCCCAATTTCGGCCAATTTTCCTTTGACCTGCTGAGCGCATTGGCGCGCCTTCCGCGCTGTCCCGGAACGCCATTCTCAAACTCCACCGCAGAAGCACCTCCAGTCGCAAAAAAAGGACATGGCCGCGCTCGCTTGAGCAACAGATGTGGGTGTCGCCCGCTGGTGGGCGGCTTGAGCCAAAATGGCTACGGATCCTCCTCCTCCTCCTCCTCATCCCCCCGTTCCTCCTCCTATCCCTCCACCTCTTCGCCGTCCACCCCTGCTCCTCCTCCTGCGCCTCCTCCTCCTCCTCCTCCTTCCTTAGGCTGCCCCTTTCTCTTCCTCCTCCTCCTCCTCTTCCTCCTCCTGTGTGTGCCTGATGCCGGTGACGACGATGCTGCAGCTGATGATGATGGTCAGATGATGATGATGTTGATGATGACGATGACGATGACGAGACGACGAGGATGAAGATGATGAGGATGACCACGGCTATGATGCTGATGAGAACGATGATGATGACGACGATGATGATGATGGTGGTGGTGATGATGGTAGGTATCTCGCAGACCTCTTGGAGCGTCTGGGGGCACCCTCGCCGCTTTCTGGTGGCGACTTGTCGGCCTCAAAGAGCCCCCAAACGCCTGGACACACAATTCTGGTCGGGGCTCTCCGGCCGCGGGGCACCGGTGCCCGGTCGCCGGTTGTATGTGTGTACGTACGTAAGTATGCATGTGTATGTGAATGTGAATGTGCATGTGTATGTGTGTAGGTGTGTGAATGTGTATGTGTGCATGTGTATTCATAGGCACACGTCAATGTATACGTGTAGATGTGGGTATAGGTTTGGGTGTATGTGTGTGTACGTGCATGAATGCATGGATGGACGGATGTGTGGTTCTCTGTGTGTCTGTATGTACGTATGTAGATGCGTCTGTGCATGTGTATGTGCATGTGTATGTGTATGTTTATGTGTACGTGCTTGTGTATCAGTGCGTGTATGTAGATGTCAATGTATATGGATATGTATATATAGAGGTGTATGCATATGTATGTATATATGTGTGCATGTACATGTATTAGTGGTGCATGCGTGTCTGTGTATGTGCAGGTGTAGGTGTAGGCGTATGTGTATATACATATGTGTATATACATATATATATATATGTATGCATGGGTGGACGGATGTATGCTTGCCTATATAGATATAGATGTGTGTGTGTCAGCGGGGCATGGTGCGGATTGGCACCCCCTGGATCCCTTATCCTGTTGGGTTATTGCTGGCGGCACCGCCGGTGCGGGCTGGTACGAAACTCCAGGGATGTACGAAACCCGCAGGGAACCCTTACAGGCTCCGCTGGCGCGGGCTGGTAAGGAACCCGCAGGATTCTGGGAACACTTGGGTTGTTCGAAACCTCTGGGACGCTCTTGATGATTTCATTGTTTCGAGGATGTCTCCAACGAAACGGCCGTGTTGGGGGAACCTCTCCGGACAAGAACGGGAAGCGCCGCTCCTCGGAGCTTGCGTGCGCACGCGCGCATGAATTTGCAACCAACGCGCATGCGTGCACTTGGATGCAGCCGCTGGGCCTCCTAAATGCCCAGATGGTCGCAGTTGGTAGCTCTAGTTCAGTGGTTGCCTGCGGTTGCGTTGGGCAGGTGTTGCGCGTGGCCTATGCTTGGGTGTGTATGTGTGCGTATGTACATGCGCATGTGTGTGCGTGTATATGCCTATGTGTGTGTGTGTGTGCGCGTGTGTGCGTGTGTGCACGTGTGTGCGCGGGCGTGTGCAGGGTGTGTGCCACGGGGGCGGGGGGAGGGGGTGCACGGTGTGCGTACGGGGCGTGTGCCTGGCGGGCTGGCGGGAGGGCCGCAGGATGTGCGTACGATTTGTGTTTAGTGTGCGTGGTGAACTGCTGACGTTGTGGATGCTCTCTATATGGGCATTCAAGCGCTGGGAGCGTGTTGTGCTCCTCCTCCTCCTCCTCCTCCTCCTGCTCCTCCCCCTCCCCATCCTCCTCCTCCTTGTCCTCCTCCTCCTCATTCTCATCCCCTTCCTCCTCCTCTTCCTCCTCCATTCCTTCTCCTAATATCTGACTTCACCCTGTCGCATTCCGAGGCCAGTTTTTAGGGCGGGCCGTGCGTTTCGCCTGAGACTTCCTCACCATGTATGACCCTGAAGCTTCAAACGTGACAACAGTTTCACACATGGAGGGCGGGTGGTGTTCAAAATGTGGCTCTTGCCTCAGCGCCCCGCACACTCGTCTCAAACATCTGCAAGAGTTTCACGAGTTGAGGGCGGGTGGTTTTCAAAATGCGGCTCTCGCCTTAGCGCCGCGCACATTCGTGTTGCAAAATTGCAAGAGTTTCACAGGTTCGTTTTCAAAATGTGGCTCTCGCCTCCGCGCCGCGCACATTCCTTTTAGTTCCACGAGTTTAAAGCGATTTCGTTTCAAAATGTGGCTCTCGTCTCAACGCCGCGCACAGTCGTGTTAAACATGCAAGAGCTTCATGGATTGAGGGCGGTTCCTTGTCAAAATGTGGCTCTCGCCTTAGCGCCGCGCTCTGACGCTATCATACTTGCAAGAGCCTCATGGGTTCCTATGATCAATGTACCAGCAGTGATGTGTTGAAAGGGTTCAGGCTTATGAGGGTGTACACGTTATGCTGATTCGCGGTGTTCAAATCCCAAGAATGGCGTTCTGGCACGATCCAGGATCGTCAAGACGCAACAGACAGGTTGATCCGTGGCGTTGGAATCCCGAGAATAATGTTTTGGCATGCTTCAGGATCTTCAAACAATTGTCTTCCAACGAGGCGGTTCCCTCAGTAAAGAGGGACCGTTGTAGGGGCCTGTGAAGAGGGAGCTTGGAGGAAGGGTGGATTACAATATCGGTGATGCCTCTTGGGTTTACACTGGTCTTCCTCCTCTTCCTCGTCCTCGTCGGTTCGAGGATGTCTCGAGCGCGAGCCCCATTTTGAACAGACGACGTCTTGAAGCAGGTCGTCTAGCATCCCATGTGTTCGAGGATGTCTCGAGCGAGAGCCTCATGTTTTAGATTTGAACGAATTCGCAAGATCCCTGGATCTCATTTTCGTCTAAGGATGTCTCGAGCGGGAGTCCAAGTTCAACATACAGCGTCTTAAACCACGTCCTTGAAGATTTCAATTGTTCGAGGATGTCTCCAGCGGAACGGCCGTTTTGGGAAGTGATTGGGTAATTACGGCCGCGAGCCACTTGTCCCTCGCCAGTTTGTACTCCATTGATTCCTTATCCAACACAGCCCAACAAACTCACATCACCTTCTCGTTCCGAGAGGGCGCCTCCCGTCATCCGCCAAGCGATTGACAATTACAATCGCGAGCCAATTGTCCCTCGCGAACTTGTTCTTCAAACTCCCATCACCTTCTCGTTCCGAGAAGGCGCTCCCCGTCATCCGCCGACCCTCGCTGGTCTGGGTTGAGACGGCGTGTGAGATGGATGACTGCCTTCACCCCGTTTATCGGGGAACGGGGGGGGGGTCGCGAACGCGCCAAAGGGAGTCTCCAAATCCACCCTTCCGCGGCTTCTAAAGCAACCGAGATGCCTTTTCGAAACGGATCGACCAAGGCCCCCACATGCCGATCAAGCCGCAAGATCTCCGAAGATAGCCCCGAGCCGGCCTTGTAGGTTCCTTAGGCGCCCCTAAAGGCGCTCCCAGAGGACCCCTGGAGGGTCTCAAGAAGAAACTATTCAAGCAGAGTCCCAAGAGGGCCCAAAGAGGCCTCAAGAAGACCGTGAAGACGGACCACACGCAAACCTCACGGAGACCGAAACAGAACGCCAAGAGGCGACCCGATATAGCAGGCTGACGGGATGGTTGGGCGCCTTCAGCTGGGGTGCAAGGAAGTCAGCCTGCATTGTCGATGCGTCCGTCCTTCGGCCCACGTCCACATCATTCCTCCACGGGGTTTTAGGGCGCTAGATAGGAATAGAACCGTCCATTCTTCTTCGGTTGCTCTTCGGCCCACTACCCTATCCTTCACCCATTTGTTTGTCATTATGTGTTGCTTGGGCGGGCGGGCGCGGTAAGAACGTAGACTTACATGTTTGACTTGTCCGTCCTCCGACTCACTGCCCGATCCCTCGTCGACGGGACTTTGGAGTGCGAAGCAAGAATATAAACTTACAGTATTGATATGTCCGACGGTTGACCCACTGCCCTGTCCCCCCTTCACGTGGGCTTGGGGGAGGGGGGGGCGAAGCAATGATGCAAACACACACTGTCCGAACTTCGGCCCGCTACCCTATCCCTCTTCCACTGCTTAGGGGGTGGCAGGTGAGGACAAACTGCACATTTGCATTATTCAATTGTTCGTCCTTCAACACCCCCCAAACGGGATGTTGGCGGTGCAAGGCCGAGGTGTGCACTGAGCATTCTTGTGTTGTCAGCCCTTCGGTTATTTTGTGGGTGGGTCGCAAGGTCTGATTTTTATTTGTTGGGGGGCACTCCATGATCACCCGCTCAAGACGCGCAACATCCACTGGCCACCGTGAATGCTCGGAGAGGCCGACCATGCGTTACTCTCCAATTGCATTGCGAGCGTTAGCGGAACATGCCAACAACGCTTTGGAGGCGTCTTCACGACATGGCAAAAGGTTTCTGCGCTAGTCTGCAAAGAACGGTTGCTCGCATCGGACATGCAATCATGCGCCTTGGCCCCCGTGACCGCCCCTCCACAGGAGGATGAGACCACCATGTCCAAACCACTTGAGGTCGCTGACGTCCTTGGGAGCGCCCGTCCATTTTGCCTTCCCCCTTGAGAGGTGAACCCTCCCTCCCTTCCTGCCGTCCTCTCTCGCGCTCTCTCTCTCTCTCTCTCTCTCGTTTCTTGTGTTTTTGATTCTCTCTCTCTCTCTCTCTCCCTCTCTCTCCTTCTCTCGTCTGTTCCCTGTCCCTTCCCCCGGCTGCTACACAGTACCCTGCTCATGTGAATCACCAGGCTCTCGTGCATCTAGCTCGATCCTAGCAAGCATGTTTGCGATGCTTCGTGGAAACAATAGTTGTCTGTGAGCAGCACCATCCTAGTTAAAGCTGTGCGTAGCCCGCCTAGCTTTCAGAGGAAGAGGTTCGCTCTCGCCCCGCCGACCAAATTATCCTGGCGAAGGACCCAACCATATGCAATTGTGAATACTGCACTTGTGAATATCTTCTCGGTGGAGCCCCCTACGGGGCCACGAAACGTACGAGGGGTGTGCCGAAATGGGTGTGCGGGACGCATGCGGGCACACCCACTGGGGCTTTCGGAGGAGCTCCCTATGGGGCCACGAAACGTGTGAGGGGTGTGCCGAAATGGGTGTGCGGGACGCATGCGGGCACACCCACTGGGACCTTCGGCGGAGCTCCCTATGGGGCCACGGAGCGCGTGAGGGGCGTGCCGAAATGGGTGTGGCTGACGCATGCGAGCGCGGGCACTGGGGCCTTCGGCGGAGCTCCCTATGGGGCCACGAAACGTGTGCGGGGTGTGCCGAAATGGGTGTGGGTGACGGACGCATGCGGGCGCGGGCACTGGGGCCTTCGGTGGAGCTCCCTATGGAGCCACGAAGCGTGTGAGGGGTGTGCCGAAATGGGTGTGGCTGACGCATGCGGGCGCGGGCACTGGGGCCTTCGGTGGAGCTCCCTATGGAGCCACGAAACGTGTGAGGGGTGTGCCGAAATGGGTGTGGGTGACGCATGCGGGCGCGGGCACTGGGGCCTTCGGCGGAGCTTCTACTATGGGGCCACGAAACGTGTGAGGGGTGTGCCGAATTGTGTGTGGGTGACGCATGCAGGCGGCAGCACTGGGGCCTTCGGCGGAGCTCCTATGGGGCCACGAAACGTGTGAGGGGTGTGCCGAATTGGATGTGGGTGACGCATGCGGGCGGCAGCACTGGGGCCTTCGGTGGAGCTCCCTATGGAGCCACGAAACGTGTGAGGGGTGTGCCGAAATGGGTGTGGGTGACGCATGCGGGCGCGGGCACTGGGGCCTTCGGTGGAGCTCCCTATGGAGCCACGAAACGTGTGAGGGGTGTGCCGAAATGGGTGTGGGTGACGCATGCGGGCGCGGGCACTGGGGCCTTCGGTGGAGCTCCCTATGGAGCCACGAAACGTGTGAGGGGTGTGCCGAAATGGGTGTGGGTGACGCATGCGGGCGCGGGCACTGGGGCCTTCGGTGGAGCTCCCTATGGAGCCACGAAACGTGTGAGGGGTGTGCCGAAATGGGTGTGGGTGACGCATGCGGGCGCGGGCACTGGGGCCTTCGGTGGAGCTCCCTATGGAGCCACGAAACGTGTGAGGGGTGTGCCGAAATGGGTGTGGGTGACGCATGCGGGCGCGGGCACTGGGGCCTTCGGTGGAGCTCCCTATGGAGCCACGAAACGTGTGAGGGGTGTGCCGAAATGGGTGTGGGTGACGCATGCGGGCGCGGGCACTGGGGCCTTCGGTGGAGCTCCCTATGGAGCCACGAAACGTGTGAGGGGTGTGCCGAAATGGGTGTGGGTGACGCATGCGGGCGCGGGCACTGGGGCCTTCGGTGGAGCTCCCTATGGAGCCACGAAACGTGTGAGGGGTGTGCCGAAATGGGTGTGGGTGACGCATGCGGGCGCGGGCTGGGGCCTTCGGTGGAGCTCCCTATGGAGCCACGGAACTGATGAACGAAAGGACGCATGCGGGCGCGGGCACTGGGGCCTTCGGTGGAGCTCCCTATGGGGCCACGAAACGGTGTACTGGGTGGGTGAGAGGAGAGGAGGAGAGGAGAGGAGAGAGAGGAGAGGAGAGAAGAGGAGAGGAGAGGAGAGGAGAGGATGATGATGATAATGATGATGATAATGATGATGATGACGATGATGATGATGATGACGATGAGGATGATAGGAGGGGAGAGGAGGCGGAGGAGGAGAGGAGGAAGGAGACGCGGGGCACCGTCTCTTCAAAACGAGGACCCAACACCACAGGATGGTTGGGAAAAACTGTGAGCAGCACCATGAAACCACTCGCAATGACGTTGAGTGGCTTGGGGAGCGTACGCAACATCAGGAAAGCGGTAGACGCCGCTTTGCTCGTGCGCCAGAGAACTTCATATCTGAGGGTGCCATTCACCTACGCTGAAGAGAGACGTATTACAAACTTATGAAGCCCCCAAACCGTTCGAGTTCACTTGTGCTAAGACCCATGTTTTTGCGGCACGGCGCTGAACGAACGCTTGCGGCTGGCAACAACTCACGGTGCTCTCTTTGCTATATATAAATGCCCTGGTCAATCCCACCGCTCTGGCTACCTCTGCTCGTTCCTGGGTCGTTTCAGTAAGCGTCCGATTGTTGAGTGTTGCTTCTGGGTTCCGCACAAATGCTGCCATGTCATGCTTGTGCCAAGCTCTGTTTTGTTGGCCACTGATACTAATTATGATTTGGCTGTTTCTGTGTCCCGCTTTCCGTGTTACTAGACTTGCGGATTCGGATGACAGGAAGGAGGCAGCCACGCTTGTCCTCGGTCACAGAGAACTCGCCGAAGCACTTGCTGGACCTCCAGAGGAAGATCTGGCTGACCTTAACGATATGGGGCGTGCGCGTGCGCGGCGAAACAAAAGGAACCGAGGAGGATGACCATGTTGAACTTGCGCAGAAAAGGTGGGGGATGGGGCTGGTGGACAGCTCACTGGCGACGCCCTGCCCTGTACGACATCCTTTTGGACTCTGCAGTGGCCGATGCTTGCTAGAAGGAGGGCGCATGGACGGTGTGGCTCCGCAGGGAGAAGCGCAGGAGGGGGCCCGATCGAGTGTGGAGCCGGCCCGCGGAACGACCCCGCGCACCCGCGAGCGACAGCGCCCGTGTGAGCCACCATCAAACCCGCAACGCGCGCGCCCTTCACCCCCAAGAAGAGATCTCTCCCTGCGCTGGCATCCGCCGGTGTGAACTTGTTCCATCCGCGGCCCCAGACGTCCCGACCCCTCCCTGGGGGGGCAGCTCTTTGTCCCGGATCCATGTCCGAGGGTCCCTGTAGCCTCTAGCCCAGGAGGCCGAACTCGAGGACACACGCTCAGAGTGCAACAGGAGCAGACCGTGGGAGATCTGCGTGCGCGCGTGACCGGGCCCTCGACGTGGGTGGCCGCTCGGGCGGGGAACACCAGGGCCTCCCGCCCCTGCTTGGGGCCCCAGGCATGGAGAGAGCCCGCGCGGTCCCCAGAGCACATGCAGGCAAGAGGGACCCTAGAGGCAGGAGACACGTTCGGGCCTCGCGCCCTCTGCTTGGGGCCCCAGGCCTGGAGAGAGCCCGCGCGGTCCCCAGAGCACATGCAGGCAAGAGGGGCCCTGGAGGCAAGAGACACGCTCGGTGCGCGGACTTCAGGGCCCCACGGGGGGGCCTCATCGAACATCCGAGCGCGCAGGCCTTGACTGGACATGCCTCTCCCGCGGCAGGCGCACCTGGACTGGACACCCAACTGGACGGGCCTGTCTGGCGGCAGCCGGGGCCAGAGTTCCAGAAGGGGCGACTCGATCTGCGGATGGCTCATCGCTGGCATCGCTCGGTAGCTGCGAGAAGCAACATCCAGGCGCGCAAGCCCGCGCTGCGGGGGAGACTCGATGATCCCGCGCCGAGGGTCGCTCCAGTAAAAGGACACCCCCACGCGCAGCCGACCCCGACCCCGACCGGTGATCCCGACCCCGACGGCGGCGACGGGCGGCGACGGCGCCAACAAGTGCGGCGACCAACACCAAGACCCAGAAGCAGTGTCGACGGATGGCGGTGACGGGCGGCGGCGGCGACAACAAGCTGGCCGGACCGACACCCAGGCCCAGTTCTCTTTAGACCAAGTAAGAACCCGGAAGTGCAAGCACTGTTTGGGGACTAATTTATTGTAGGTCTTTTTGAAGAGGGAGCTTGGAGCGAGGGTTGATTGTAACGTCGTTGATGCGTCTCGGGTTTGCACTGGTCTTCCTCCTCCTCCTCCTCCCTCTTCCTCCTCTTGCCCCTCGCTCCTCTTGCTCCTGGTGTTCATCATCATCTCGGTCCTCATCCTCCTCCCACCTCTCCCGCCTCGAGGAGGAGGATTTGGTGTTTCGATGTTTTTGGCCCTCTGGGGCCTCCAGAGGCTTGAGACGTCCGTAGGCCGTAGGCTTCTCTGGAAGATGAGGAAGAGCAGGAAAGGAAGGACGAAGATGCCTCTACTCCTCTCCTCCTCCCCCGCCTCCTCGTTTCTTATGATGCTTTCCTGCCTTCCAAAACAATTCAAGCCAGTTCTGGGCAAGGCAAAGCAATAACATGCAACGCACTGCCTGGAATTAGTTGGCACTGCTCCGCGTTGCGTAGCTGCTTGAAAACAACGCTTCGCGTTGATTTGCATGGCTTTGCATTGCTCGGCATTGTTTGGCGTTGCTTGGCGTTGCTTCGCGTTGCTGGGCATTGCTGGGCATTGCTTGGCACTGCTTGGCACTACCAAGCGAAGCCGAGGAACCCCGAGGGGGCTTCGAGCAACAGGGAACGCCTGGGGACGACGGACCCCACGCCCCCCTGCTTCTCCCAAAGACAAGGACGACCCTTGGGCAGAGCCCAGTCGATGAAAGACCTCCTCCTCGACGCACGCCCGGACCTGTCGGCAGAGCGCTCTGGGCGCAGGATTCGGGACCGTTGCCAGGAGCTCGCGGGGCCGTGGGCGTGCCCGCGGGCAACAGGGCCTCGGGAGCCGCGGAAAGCCGCAGCCGCACGCGAGGAGAGCGCGGGAACGGGGGCAGGGGAAGGAGGTCGGCCACGCGCAGGGGGGAAGGCGTCTTAGAAGCACCCCTGCTTCTTAGAAGGCGCGGGCCTTGTCTGTAGATGTAGGGGTGGCGCCTTCTAAGGAGCGGCCTCCTTCTACGAAACCTTCCCCCCTCTCTCTACCCCCAGGTGCGCTGGTGGGGAAACCAAGAGGTAGCGATACCGCTACTCCCCGCACCTCCCCCGGGGTATGTTCTGACCAGGATTTCGAGGCGAATCCAGCGGTGGCGACAAGGGCTTCTCCTCCTAGGCCCGAAAACGGGAAAACGAGTCCAGGGTAGCGGCGTCGGTACCTTGTTCCTCCTCGGAGCTGAGGGGCGCCCATGGATACCTGCACGCCCATGCGGGCGGGCAGGTACCCACATCCACCGCTCCTCGAGACCCCAGGGCACCACTCCGAAGCAGTGGATGTGGACATACTCTGGCGGTGGAAGCAGGACCACGAGGCGAGCACGCACCAGGCGCTGCCCCCTGGGCGTCCGGGGGGGGCCCACGACGGGGCCTGCGCCCCCCAGCTCGACGGCCTGCCGATGCCGGCGGCAGCCCGCCGAAGCCCCCTCGGCCCCTCGAGGCGGTGCCGCACGGGTGCCGGCCGCGCGCGCGGTACTTTTCGGCCCACGTGGCGGCCCAGCGCCGGCGGATGTGCGGCACCCCGCGCGCACCCGCGCGCACACCCCAGAAGTCAGGAAGCCGTGCGGCGCCCGCGCGCTGCGCGGCCGCCACGCGCCCCCCCACCACGCGGGCGTGCCGCACCCCCAGCGGCTCGCCCCCGGCACATCTTTGCCAGCTTCTTGAAAGCCAGGCGCATGTCTTCGGCACGGTCGGTAGGCGGCTTGCCTTCGTCTGGGGCCGCGGGGGGCCCCCAAGCCGCGGCAACGCTCGCGGCGTCAGCGATTGCGTCGGCCCAGCGCTCTCGGAACCACGACAGGAGCTCCAGAGTGGACTCGCAGTCGTCCCTGTTGTAGTCGCGGATCGACCGAAGATGCTCGGACGTGTGGTGGTCCTGGCCTTCTGCGCTGTTCAGCCACTGGTGGTACACCACAACGGAGTCCAGGGCACCTGAAACGCTCGTGCCGCGGCTGCCGCGGTACAAACGCTCGATCTGCTTCAGCCCATATCCAGGTAGGCCAACGACCAACGAGTTCAGGACCACCTTGTAGAGATCGACGAGCATCCCGAGCACACGGGATATGTCGCCCCTGATGTCCGCCATGAGCGGGTCGTTGTAGATACGCTTCAGGGCGGTGGCCTCGTACGGCGCGTAGTGGTACACGTGCAGCCCACGGAACCGCCTCTGCCTCTCAAGCAGCCACGCGACGAACTCCCTCCAGCTCGTCCGCTCCTGCTCTTCGCTGTGCGACCACCAGCTGTGGTAGCTGCCGTCACGGGTGCACACGCCGATAAGGTACTCCCGTGCCCCACCGGGCATTGGCAGCGTCATGCCCTCGAGGTCGAAGAACACGTCGCCGTCGTCTGGCTGCGGCAGCGTGGCCATGGCGCCCTCCGCGCCCTGCCTGAGGCGAGTGGCGATCTCACCCGTGCGCAGCGTCTGGCACTGGCACTGGGCCTGCTGGTGGTACTTGCGGAGCGTCGCGATCCCGTCGCGCCCAACCAGCGGAGGCAGCTGGGCGCTCGGCAGGGCGGCGAAGCCCTGCATCGTGGTGACCCCGGCGGCCGTGAGCGCCTGCCTCTGCTTCGGCCCGATGCCCGCCACCAACGTCAAGTCGTCCCTCTCGCTCAGGACCTTCTTCCCGTACTCTGCCCACCGGCCCCAGGTCTGCTTCGGGCTCTCGGACGGATCGGGCGGCTCCCCGCTCGGGTCAAATGCATCCTCGGGGGAACAAGCGACGGCACAACACCAGAACCTCTCGGAGCTCCGCGCGGATGTCTCGGATCGGCGCTGGTCACGCCTTCATGGCTCGCGGAGCGCGTCAGGCGCGGCGCCGCCAGAGGGGCCCAGCTCCGATCCAAGAACTCTCCGCGCGGGACGCCGAACGTGTATGTTCAGGCAACTTGCTCTCCGAATCCTGGAAGCGCAAGTGCCTGCCCCACAGCTCCTCGAGGTATGGCCGGACCTCCTCCTCCTCGAACTCGTACGCGTTGCCCGCGTCGGCGGCCTCTTCGCCGAGCACCAGGCCCACCTTGCCCACGACGGCGTCGGCGCCCCTGGCGCGGAGAGACGACCGGAGCGTCAAGGCATACGCTCCGAGCTGCAGTACCATCGAAGACCGACTGTGTATGGCCAACTTCGTGTCCCAAATCGTGAACTCTACAGCCCCGTCTGGGCGCTCCGTGCGGAAGACGAAGTCCGCGATGCCTGCCAGCCGCATGTCGGGGTTGTGCAGGGGCACCTGGAAGTACAAGTCGAACTCCCCGAGCACGAGCTCGTCCAGCGCCCTCTGGGCGGCTGGGGCCTGCCAGGCGCGGCCGAACTCCTTGACCGCCTGGGGCACGAACTCCGCCATGTCCCGGACCCTGCCACCCTTCTCGCGCTGGTACCACTGGAGGAAGCGCTCCTCCACCCGGTTGCCCCTCTCGTAGAAGCACTCCATGAGGGGGTCCTTGCAGATGAAGGCACAGCGAGGGTCGTCTGGGCACTCCTGAGCATCGTTGAACCGATCCCTATCCCCACCGGCGTGGCCTGGGCCCCACTGGCCGAGTTATCCCCCTGGATGGGGATATGGGCTGCTCCATTCGAGCTTCGAGGCGCATAATTATCCCCAGCTGGGGTGGTGGGATGGTGGGGATGGGGACGGGGATGGGGATCGGTTAAACGATACTGAGCTCCTTCAGGAGCCGGTCCATCCACGCCCGGAACGGGGACTCGAGCCACCCGGTCAGGGCCGAGGGCGAGAACGTCTTGACCTTCCGCTCCGCCCTGCCCACCTCGGCCTCGGGCCGCGCGCCCGCGGGGGCCTGCTCGCACGCGATCAGCCCAGCCGGCCCCTGCCTGCGCCTGGAAAGACCAACCAATGACGGTGCCGCTGCTCCACCAGCCTCTCCCGGGGCGCGTTCCGGCCAGGATTTGGAGGCGAATCCAGCGGGCCGACCCTCGACCTCCATCTTCCGCAGCTTCCGCGCGGCAGCTGGCGCGCAGCCGCGGCCGCCGCCGCGGCTGCAGCGGTGGAAGCCAACGAGGCCGCAACGGTGGCCACGGCGGCCACCGCGGCCGCATCACAGCGGCACCTTCCGCCCGGAAAGTGCGGAAGGTGCAGGTCGAAGGGGCCTTAGGCCTCCAGGAAGATAGAAGAAGAAAACACGGCATAAGCATCAACTTCTGGCGTTCCACGCGGATTTCTCGGATCTGCGCCGGAGGTGCCGCCCGCGGGAGCCCAGCGCGGATCCAAGAAGTCCGCGCAGGGCGCCACAAGCTTATGTATACTGTCGGACCTGGGCCAGAAGAACATCCCTCAAGATCGTGAGGCTCTTCGTCGGCCTAAACATACAGAGTATCCTAGGGTACCCTCCCAAGGATGCACAAGATCATCCAGCAAGCTCGAAGAACATCAGGGTCTACCCTCCCCGCGCCGACCCCGATCTCAGACCTCGGTCCGGATGTATGCCGTTTTTTCTTCCTCGGGAAGAACAACGGCAAATCACTATACCTCTTCCTCCCGTGAGCGCCGGCCGAGCCCGCGCCCGCGCCGCCGCCGCGCGCCGCCGCACCAGGCGGTCGCCGCCGCGCCCGCGGCGAGCGCCGGCAGCGCGCCCGCGGCGAGTGCCGCGCGGGGCGCCCGCGGCGCGCAGGGCGCGGGGCGCCCGCCGCGCGGCGGGCGCGGCGGCGCGGCGGCCGCCGCCGCCGCCCGCGGGGAGGCCGTGCGGCGGTGGCGGCGCTGGGCCCCCGCGCCGCGGCGCGCCGCCGGGGTGGCGGGGTGCCGCGGCGGGGCCCGCCGCCGCGGCCATGGCGCAGGGCCTCGCCGGGCGCCGCCGCCGCCGCGGCGGCCTCCTCGGCGGGCGCGCGGGGGCTGCTCGAGAGGACTCGAGAGCCAGGGCCGCGGGCCCGCCCTGGGAGGCTCCACGCTAGGCGCCCGGAGCTGTGGCGGCCCCCCCACTGGGTCCTCCTCCTCCTCCGCCTCCTCCTCCTCCTCCTCTTCCTCTCCCCCTCCTCCTCCTCCTCCTTCTCCTCCTTCTCCTCCTTCTCCTCCTCCTCCTCCTCCTCGTATCATCCCACACAGCTCTTTTTTTGTTTGTTCTCCTCGCCTCTCCTTCCCGGAGGAGGCGTTTCCCCTTGCCTCGATCTTTCGGCCTCTGGGACCTGCTGCTGGGCTCCGGGGCCATCAAGGCTGGATCCTGGGCGAAGGACGGGCCCTGGGAAAGGGGTCGGGGCCCATGGGGCCACGTATTGAACAATGGGCGACTGCAGTGGGAGGAGGGCTGCTGCACCAGATCGTGGTTTCTGGTGCTCTTGAACTCAGAGGCTCTTCCGACATGCGCTGGCAACTCTATGATATGGCTTTCTCTCTCTCTCTCTCTCTCTTTTTTTTTTTTCTCTCTCTCTCTCTCTCTCTCTTCCTCATTATCTATCCCTCTCTGTCCCCTCTGGATCTCTAGTTGATCACATTTGTTTTTTTCTCTCTCGCTCTCTCTCTCTCTCCCTGTTTCTACACATATATATTCATACACATAGTTGTACATTCCTCTCCTGATAACCTGCTGATTTCCCTCCCGTCCTCATCATCTCTCCCTATCTCTCTTCTTCTCTGCCACCCCTCTTGTTTTGTTTATTTTGTTTTCTCTCTCTCTCTCTTTCAGTCTCTCTCTCTCTCTCTCCCTTTCTCTCTCTATCCCTCCTGCCCGATTGCGAGACATCTGCTTGTGTTCAACCATCGCCGCTCCCGCAGCTACCAGCGCGAGGCGAAACCTGAGAGCCCTGCAAAGATGAGAATGGCGGCGCCGCCAAAGTAGAGCCCCCTGATGGGCGACCACATGTGAAGCCTACCCTCAACCCCCACGATTTCTAAGGGAGGCTGGGGGTTCACTTCGCTCGGGAGGTCCCGAACAAAATGAAGCCCCCCCCCCTCTTTAAAAAATCGTGGGGGGTGGGGGTAGGGTTCGGTCGGGCATGTCCTCCTACAGGTGGATTCTGGATGACCCCCCCAAAAAATAATCAAAAAATGCTCGGAAATAGCCAAAACATAATCAGCATCGCCCCCAGAGGATTGTGTAAAGCTATATGGGGATATGAATATGAGTATGAATATACATAGATATATAGATATATAGACATATTTATATATACATATATGTATATATGTGTACCTGTATGTCTGTATACAAGACTGCATTGCCGCCTCGCGCCATGCTTCTTGTTCCTTGTAGTTTCGAATGTAGGCGGCGTGCGTGCGCGTGGACATGGGGTGGGCCACCGCCAAGTCGGAATGGGTGAGGAGTTCCTGAGCGGGAGCGACCGGACAACACCAGCTGAGCCATCTCAAGGCGTTTCGGGGCCCAGAGGCGCGCATCTGTCTCAGGCGAGTGGTTGGGCTAGCATGAAGCAGGGTATCCTCCTCCTCTTTCTCCTCCTCCCCCTTTTCCTCCTCCTCTCCTCCTCATCCGCATCCTGTTTCTCGTCCCTCCCCCTCTTTCGCCAAATTCCTCCTCCTTCTCCTCCTCCTCCTCCTTCTCCTTCTCCTCCTTCTCCTTTACCTCCTCCTCCTCCTCCTCCTCCTCCTCCTTCTCCTCCTCCTCCTGCTACTCCTCCTCTTCCTCCACCTCCTACAGAACGTTCTATGTTCGGCATGCGCGCTGCTGGGCTGCCGGCTTCGAGCCCGAAGGAGGCCCAAGGCTGGCCCAAGACGCCCCCCCCCCCCCAAAAGAAACATCAATGAAAACCCATTGAAAAATCAATGTTTCTCGCCTTCTCGCACTTACGATCGGCTCTTGAGGCGTCAAGATAGCCCCAGGACGGCTCCAAATGAGTCCCCCGACGAGCCCCAAAGAAGCCCAAGGCTAGCTCTCAACAGGGCCTGGAGAGTCGAAAATCAGAAAAGACCCATTGGAAAAACAATGTGTTCGGCCTTCTCGGTTTTCCTTTCCGGTTGGCTCGAGAGGCGTCAGGATGACCGCAGGATGGCCTCAGAGAGGCGTAAGCCGAGGCCCACAAAGGCCCAAGGCTGGCCGCAGAGGGCCCGAAGAATTGAAAATCCGTGATAACCCATTGGAAAATCAATGTGTTCTAGAGGCATCAAGATTGGCTCAGGACGGCTCCAAATGAGTCCCAAGACGAGCCCCAAAGAGAACACAGACTGGCCCTAGACGGCCAGGAGATTCGAAAAGCAATGTTTTCGGTCTTCTCGCCTTTTCGCTTCAGGTCGGCTCGGGAGGCGTCAGGACAGCCCCAGGATGGCTCCAGACAGGCGCAAGCCGAGGCCGACAGAGGCCCAAGGCTGGCCGAAGAAGGCCCAAATAATTGAAATCCAATGAAAACCAAGAGAAAATCAATGTCTTTGGCCTTCTCGCCTTTTTGCTTACGATCGGCTCTTGAGGCGTCAAGATAGCCCCAGGACAGCTCCAAATGAGTCCCAAGACGAGCCCCAAAGAGGTCACAGACTGGCCCTAGACGGCCAGGAGATTCGAAAAGCAATGTTTTCGGTCTTCTCGCCTTTTCGCTTCAGGTCGGCTCGGGAGGCGTCAGGACAGTCCCAGGATGGCTCCAGACAGGCGCAAGCCGAGGCCGACAGAGGCCCAAGGCTGGCCGAAGAAGGCCCAGATAATTGAACTCCCATGAAAACCAAGAGAAAATCAATGTGTGTGGCCTTCTCGCCTTTTAGCTTACGATCGGCTCTTGAGGCGTCAAGATAGCCGCAGGACGGCTTCAACTGAGTGCCCAGACGAGCCCCGAAGCGGCCCTAGGCTGGCCGATGAAAGCCCAGAGAATTGAAGATCAATGCAAACCCATAGGAAAAACATGTTTTTGGTCTTCTCGCATTTTCGCTTACGATCGGCTCTGGAGGCGTCGAGATAGCCCCAGGACGGCTCCAAATGAGTCCCCAGACAAGCCCCAAAGAGGCCTAAGGCTGGCCCAAGAGGGCCCGGAGAGTCGACAATCAGAGACAACCCAAGGCGCAAGACAGGCCCGAGGATTCGAAATTGACTTTGGGGGTTTGTCAGGGGGGATGCGCTCTTTCCAGGGTCCCCGGCCCTATAATATATATATATACACAAATAAATGATTGAATATATAAATGAATAGATGAATGAGTAAATAAATAAATAATAATAAACACACATTCCTCCTGTAGATGGACACGCCCGACTCCACGGTAGGGTTCACACGTGGTCGCCGACCTGAGCCACCGCGGCACCTCGTCCAGCGCCACGTTGCACTTCTTCCGGATCCACTCCCTGTAGTGGGCCCTTTTTCCATCACCATCAGCACCATCCATTGGAGGGGGAGGGGGGTCCTCCTCCTCCTCGTCCTCCTCCTCCTCCTCCTCGTCCTCCTCCTCCTCCTCGTTGTCCTCCTCCTCCTCCTCATCCTCCTCGTCCTCCTCCTCCTCCTCCTCCTCGCCCTCCTCTTCCTTCCCCCCCTCCAACCTACGGTGGTGGTGGCGGAAAACAGGCGCATCACCCTGGGCCGACAAGCAGCGGCGCGAGCGCCTTTCTTTCCAATAGGGAGGGTAAGGCAGGAGCACGGCGAGGCCCATCTAGTGGAGGCCAACCCACGAGAGACCTTCCACAGGAAACCCAACCCTGAGACCACAGGACGTCCCTGGATTTTTGGCGTGGAGGCGTCACGCCTTCCACGGCAGGACCATCGAAACCCAAGAAACACAGGGCACCCTGGCGGCAAGCAGGGTGCTTCCTGGCATGGCCCCCCACTATACAGCGGGGCGGGGACTCCACTCCTCTCACGCCCGCGCGGCCTCGTCAAGCATCGCTTCACTCCGCTCGGCAGCTGCCTCGGCGGCCGCATCCAGGAGCGGAGTGCGCAAGCTTCTGCGAAGCAGATCCGAGCACCAGCGGTGCAAGGATGCTCGTGCCGCAGCCTTTGCGGGGAGAAGCCAGGTGGTGGGCCAACGCGGGGTGCAGCTCGGACGCCCGCCCGCAGGGCATGACCCAGAGATCGACTCGAGCTGAGGCCTCGAGCAAAGCTTTGGCTGGTTGGTCAATCTTTGGCGTCGCGTTGCGAACCGCTTGAGCTGAACGTTTGGCCACGAAACGCCCTGATGCACGATCTTTGGCATGCAGGAGCTGTGTGTTGACGAGCAGGCCCGCTTCCAAAGTGGCGTCGCAGCCCCAAGCCTTGCCAGCGGGGAGGCGGAGGAGAGGGCGAGACGGCCACCTCTTGCCATGGGTCCTGACTCATGGGCTCGCTTCCACGGAAGGTTGTCAATCTGCTGTGAGCGTGGGCCTCCACTGCACTGCTTCATCCGCCCAGTGCAAGTCATTGGCGCACCAGCTTCCTCAAGGGCGTGGAGGAGAAGCCCGCAGAGGGAGACAGGGAGGCCAAGGCCGGCGGCAGCGCACCAGTCGGGCCTTGGCAGAACTGGGGCTAGGACCTGGTTCAGTGATGTGTACTGGGGGGGCGCCCCCTCCGCCCCGCTCCACTAACCAGAACTGGCGTCACCCGAAGAAGCACTAGCTGCGGCAGACCTGGTTTAGTGGTTCTGGCCCATTTCGGGGCGCCGGGGCCCCACCACTAGCCGGGTCCCCTTACCTGGGGTCCTGGCTATGCCCGAACCAGGGGGGGCGCCTCGAGAGACGGCGGCCGTTCTCCAAGAATACGGGCCCCGGCCTCTGGCCTTCGGAAGGCGGGGTGGCCTCGACGAGGCGGGGGGCCCTCTTCGGAGCGAAGGCCGGCGCAAAGGTGGCACGGGTCCTGCGGTAGTCCAGCCAGTCGAGCTCGATGTACTCCGCCTTAGGCCTGACCAGCTCCTTGTGGTTCTGCTCGAACTCGTCCTCGGCGACCGCTCCGGCCCGCTCTTCCGCGGCCGCTCGGCTACTCGGCGTCGTCGTCGTCTTCTTCACCGTGTTCGTGGTTGTCGTCATCGTCGTCGTCCTCCTCCTCCTCCTCCTACTCCTCCTCCTCATCACTCTCTCCTCTCCTCTCCTCCTCCTCCTCCTCCTCCTCCTCCTCCTCCTCCTCCTCCTCCTCCTCCTCCTTCTCACTCCTCTCCTCCTCCTCCTCCTCCCTCCCTCCCTCCTCCTCCCCCTCCTCCTCCTCCTCCTCCTCCTCCTCCTCCTCCTCCTCCTCCTCCTCCTCCCCATCCTTCCCGTTACCCTACTGTTTTTCCTACCGCTCCTCCCCCGACTCCTCACGGTAACGGTGTGTGTGTGTGTGTGTGTGTGTGTGCGGCGACCGCAATAATCATCATACTTATTGTGGTATAGACTGGGCGAATAATTTGGGGCCCAACTCGGGGACGTACGATGCGGGGGCGTCTATCATCGACGGCGGTGCGTCCGAAGAGCCCCCAGGGAGTTTATGCCCGAGTTCCTCCTTCTTTTCGTGAACGGCCAGTTTGGGGGGAAAACTGGGGGACGCCTGAGACCTGGCACTAACTTCGCTCATCGACGAGCGCGCTCCATCACTCGCTAAGTAACTGCTCGCAGATGGCCTGGATCCGCCACGGGGCATGCACGATATCTATATATTTAGATATAGATATACACATGATTATACATGTATATATGCATATATAGATATATACATATATGTATATATATATATAGGTATACATATATGTTTATGCACGCGATATATGTATATACATACGATATATATATATATATATACATGTATATACACACCACTCTTGCGAGCAGGCATTTTGCGAGTCGTGGAACGCGCCCGGTGAGCTCAGGCGCTGCGGTCGGGAATGCCCCCTCGGGTCGTCGCCGCCTCGCCCTACGGCTGGGCGCGCAGGCGGACGCAGAGCTCCGCGGCGCGGCCGAGGCCGCCCGCGGGAGAGCCCTCCTCGCGGTCCAAGGCTGCTGCTCCTGGGCATGCGGCCTCGCGCTGCCGCCCGGGCACACTTCTTTGTTGCGCCGGCGGCTGGGCCGAGGGACCGCGCTGGCGAGTAGAGCCAGGCAGGGCAGCGACAGGCGAGAGTTCAGCCGCCATGTGGCGAGCGCGTCCCACTGCTCGCAAAGGAACTGCTCGCAACTGGCCTGGAGCCGCCGCGGGGGACCTACGACAGGTCGCATCGGAGCAGACCTGTGTTTTTTGTTCCTCGGAAGCCTGCGAGGGGGCGCTGTGCGAATAGTAGTGGAACGCGCTCGGTGACCCACTTCCGAGGCAGAGGTCGGAGATTCTCTGACCCGGATCAATCCAGATCCAGGTCAGTCAAGCCTTGCAGAATCCTGTAAGATCCTGCGAGATCCTGCACCCAAACCCGGGTCAATGCGAAGGATCCTGCAGGATCCTGCAGGATCCTGCACCCAGACCCGGGTCAATGCAGCCCTTGGCCCTGCAGGATCCTGCAAGATCCAGCGCTCTGGCTGACCCTGGAAACGACAGGGCCGTTTTTTATCGGTTCCGTTTTGCCGTTTTTTTGTCGGTTCCGACGCCGTTTTTGTTACCGGTTCCGTCGCCGTTTTTTGACCGGTTCCGGCTCTGGTTCCAATCCTGGAGCCGTTTTTTTTGCCGTTTCCGGTCGCCGTTTTCTTGCCGTTTCCATTTTCAAGGGACATCTTTCTGGAAACGGGGAAAAAACGGCACTGCCGTTTCCGGGGCCCACAAAGGCCCCGTGTGCCGTCAGCCCGTATAGCAAGGCTGCGCGAGAAGGCGAGGGCATCGGGTAAGGAAGCGCTGGGTAAGGGATCCAGGGTCTGGAAGCCGGTGAAGCTCCAACCGTGGATTGGCCATGGATGCCACCGCCGTCCTCGTCAGACAAGGAACCCTCCAGTGTCTGAAGCCCCCTGGGCAGACTCCTTATCCAACGCCCCGCAAGGTCACTGGAAGCCCCTTTTCGGAGCTTTTTAGGGCGGGGTGCGGCCGACGGAGGTGGCCAAGGCTGCACCGAGGAGGCACGGATACAAGGGTACCCTTGGGAAGGTTGCCAAGCCTTACTGTGCGAGTCGACTGTCTACAGTGGAGGCCAGACCACAGGAAACCGTCCACAAGAAACCCAACCCTGAGACTCCCAGGACGTCCGTTGGTATTTGGTGTGGGAGCCTCGCGCCTTCCACATCAAACCATCGAACCCCAAAAAACACAGGGCACCCTGGAGGCAAGCAGGGTGTTTCTTGACATGGGCTTCCACTGTATGTTTCTACTGAGGAAGAAGAGGAGGAGAGGAGGAGGAGGAGGAGGAGGGAGGAGGAGCGGGAGGAGGAGGAGGAGGAGGAGGAGGAGGAGGAGGAGGAGGAGGAGGAGGAGGAGGGGGAGGAGGGGAGGAGGAGGAGGAGGAGGAGGAGGGGGAGGAGGGAGGAGGGAGGAGGGTGGAGGGGGAGGAGGAGGAGGAGGAGGAGGAGGAGGAGGAGGAGGAGGAGGAGGGGAGGAGGAGGAGGAGGAGGAGGAGGGGGAGGAGGAGGAGGAGGAGGAGGAGGAGGAGGAGGGAGTTTCTTGGCATGGGCTCCCACTGCAGGTCGCCCTCCTGGCGGAGTCGGCGCGGGCGCAGCGGGGCGGCGGGGCGGCGCCGCGGGGCGGCGGCGCGCACGGGGCGGCGGCTGCGCGGGGGCGCCCGCCGACGGCGGCGGAGGGGCCCTGCGGTGTGCACGCAGAGGTGCGCCGCCCCACTTCGAGGGCAACACATCCACCTCCAGAATAGCCACCCCGACAAGCGAGGCCGTTCAATAAGCGCACCCAGAGAAGGAATCGAACGGGACAGGGCTGTTTGGTAGATGCCCCAGGCCGTTTGGTAGACGCCACTTATCGGGTCCAGGTGGCTTGTCCGCCCTTGACCACTCGCCGTCGTTCGGGCGTCCATTCCCTGTGCATGTTTCGGCTTCTTGCGTGTCCTGTTAGGTCGGGCATGTCCTCCCACAGGCGCTCATCGGGCGGCGTCCGCCGGCCGCGGCGGCGGCGCAACGCGCGGCAAGGCGCTGGCAGATCCGCCGCACTGACGTGGCCCTGAGACCGCTGCGACGCGCGGCAGGGACGAAGCGGCACGGACGGAGGACGACTCCCGGGCGGCGCCTGCGTAGGTGGCATGGTCGAGAATCGCCTGTCTCGGAGCAGTCAGCTCTAGACGGCGCCTTGCGTTCCTCTGCGCCCGAGCGTCGTCCTTTAAGGGGCGCGCGCATCACTTGGGCCAGCTTGGGCAAGGGTCGGCCAGTCTTCTCGTCTCCTATGCTTGGCGTCAGTTGCCTCGCATCAGAGACGCGCCAACACACCTGAGCTGCACGGATTCGAGCCTCGCATGGCGATTACAACAGACTCCGCCCCAAGCAGTGGTTGCACTAGTGGCTTCCTGACCCTGCTCGAAGGGATGCGGTCTGCGCGCGGAGGTCGGACCAACGCCGTCGTCGCCGCTGTTGCCGCGTATGGAGGTGCACGCAGGGGGTCCATTCGTTGCCGTCGTCGTCGCCGCCCTCGCCGCGAGTGCAGGGGTCTTGTCGTCGCCATCGCCGTCACTCTTGCGTGTGGGGCTGCGAGCGGGGGTTTGGCCATTGCCGTCGCCACCGCGTGCGGGGGTGAGCGGGGCAATCCGGTCGTCGCTGCCGTCGTCGCCTTCGCCGCTGCCGCGGGGATTTGGCCGTCTCCGCGGCTAATATGCCAGAAAGAAGACGAGGTGGTGGGAGGAGCATCAAGGGGGAGGAGGATGAGGTGGAGGAGGCGGAAGAGCAGGAGGAGAAGGAGGAGGAGCAAGGGCAGCAGGAGGAGACGGAGGAGGGGGAAGAGGAGATGAGGAGGGTGGAGGAGGAGGAGAAGCGGGAGGTGGGAAGAGGGGGGGGGACAACAAAGAGCGGGACGGGGGAATGATGATGAAGAGGAGAACGAGGATAGGGAGGATAATAATGTTGGGACGAGTGGAAGTGGCAGCTCGGGGCGCAGTAGGAAGCGCATGGCAGAAGGAGAGGAGGTACAGCAGCAACCGCAGAGAGAAACAAGCGAGGGTGAGCCGGAGGAGCAGGAGGAGAAGGACGACGACGAAAGCCAACTCGAACTCGAACACGACCACGACGCCGACGACGATGATCACCACAACCACGACGACGATGGACGACCACGTCGACGACGAACACAGCGCTGGCAGCGACGGCGACAGCGAGCACGAGGACGAGGACGAACAAGCACGACGACGGCAACGACAGACGACCGCGGTCGTTCTTCATCACGACGACAAGGACAACGACGGAACGATCACGACAGACCGACGGCGACGACGATGCTCTGCCGCCGCGGGCTTCGGTCGCGGCGCCAGCGCGCGGTCCAGGCGTGCTCCGCGCGCGGGCGCGTGCGCGCGCGCCCGAGGCGCGCGGGCCGGACGGGCCGCGGGCGGGGCGGGGAGGGAGCAGGGGCAGGAGAGGGATGGGAAGGATGGCTCATGAGGAGGAGGGTGAAGAAAACGGAGGAGGTGAGGGAAAATGATGAGGGCGGATGAAGCGGAGGGATTCTATTCTATTCTATTCCACCTCGTGTGGTGACCTGCAGCTGGGCAGGGCACGCAAAACAAATTCACACATCAGGGAGCTGTCCACCCGACTCAGGTGGCAGTCCCCTTTTCAACCTGCTGAGAACATCACGCCCCGCTCGTGTGGAGGTGAGGGAATCTGATGAGGGCGGATGAAGCGGAGGGAGAGGGATGCGAAGGCTGAGGAGGAGCAGGAGTAGGAGGAGGCCGAGGATGATGACGAGAACGACGGAGGATAGAGGACCGCAGTACGCTTGAACATATTCGGGCCTGCTTGGGCGCTCTCGTCGCCCTGGTCATACGACCTTCGAAGTATTAGCTGGTAGGCACCGGGAAGAGGACTGGGGGTCGACTTCGGTTCCCGAAGCCCAAACCTTCCATAGGGTGGAGGAGAGAGGGTGGTCGACGAGGGGGAGGAAGAGGAGGACCACGAAGGGGAGTGAGGATAGGGAGAGAGGAGGGGCGGGTGGAGGAGGAGGAGGAGGAGGAGGAGGAGGAGGAGGAGGAGGAGGTGGTGAAGTGCGGGGCGGCCGGATCGAGGGGGGGGAAAGAGGGGGCGAGGATGGGGATGGAGGGGGCAATCAGGGAGAGAGCGAGAGAGAGAGAGAGAGAGAGCGAAAGAGATCCTGACATCCGCCGATCTGTTTTTTCTTTGAACCCGCATCCCCAGACGTCCCGTACCCTTACCCGGGGGGTAGCTCTTTACCCCGGATCAGTTTCCGATAGCCCCCGGGGTCCAGTAACAGAACCCTGAGGGCGAAATCAAGGAAGAGCGCCCCGACTGAAAATTAAGACAGACCGTCGGAGATCTGCGAAGATCATGCGGCAACTCATGGGGGCCTCCCCTGCCATCTTGCTGGCTCTTGTGCACCGACGCTAACCGACGCTTAGTCGACTCCAAATCGACGGTAACAATCGGCGTGCCCGCATTGACTGCCAGACACTAGCGCACGCTGAGGCACTCTAAAGCCAGAAGTCGGAAGCACAAGGACATACGCTTAGAACAATCAACGTCTCATAAACATAAACTTTTGGCGCTCCGTGTGGATTTCTGGATCTTTGGACCCTTCTCCCTGGCGCGAAGAGCGCCGACGCGGGGGGGGGGCACTGGAGGCGCCGCCGGGGGGTGTGGGGGGGCGCGGCGCGGATCCAAGAAAGACGAGCAGAGCGCCAAACGTTTATGTGCATGCCGTTTTTGTTTCATCTTCGGTCGAACAAAATCCGAAGACGGAAGCACGAGGACACACGCGATGCTCCGAGGGAGGGGGGAGGAGGAGGAGGAGGAGGAGGAGGAGGAGGAGGAGGAGGAGGAGGAGGAGGAGGGAGGGGAGGAGGAGGAGGAGTGAGGAGAGGAGAGGAGGCGGAGGGGAAGAGGAGGAGGAGGAGGAGGAGGCGGAGGAGGAGGAGGAGGAGGGAGGAGGAGGACGAGGAGGAGGAGGAGAAGGAGGGAGGGAGGTGGAAGGAGGGAGGAGGGAGGAGGGGGAGGAGGGAGGAGTGGAGGAGTGAGGAGTGAGGAGTGAGGAGTGAGGATGGAGGAGGGGGAGGAGGGATGAGGGAGGAGGGAGGCGGGGAGGAGGGAGGAGGGAGGGAGGGGAGGAGGGAGGAGGAGAGAGGCAGGAGGCAGGAGGCAGGGGCAGGAGGGAGGAGGGAGGAAGGAGGAAGGAGGAGGAGGGTAGGAGGGAGGAGGGAGGAGGGAGGAGGGAGGGAGGGTAGAGGAGGAGGAGGGAGGAGAAGGAGGAGAGGAGGAGGAGGAGGAGGGAGGAGGAGGAGGAGGAGGAGGAGGAGGAGGAGGAGGAGGAGGAGGAGGAGAAGGAGGAGGGAGGAGGAGGAGGAGGAGGAGGAGGAGGAGGGAGAGGAGGAGGAGGAGGAGGAGGAGGAGGAGGAGGGAGAGGAGGAGGAGGAGGAGGAGGAGGAGGAGGAGGAGGAGGCGGAGGAGGAGGAGGAGGGGAGGAGGAGGAGGAGGAGGGGGAGGAGGAGGTGAGAGAGGAGAGAGAAGGAGGAGGGAGGAGGAGGAGGGAGGAGGAGGAGGAGGAGGAGGAGGAGGAGGAGGGAGGGAGGAGGAGCAGGAGCAGAGCGGGAGCAGGAGGAGGAGGAGGAGGAGGAGGAGGACCGGAGGAGGAGGAGGGAGGGAGGAGGAGGAGGAGGAGGAGGGAGGAGGAGGGAGGAGGAGGGCGGAGTGCCAGGGCCCGAGGGCCGAAGTGCGGCCCTCCGCGGGAGGCGACCGGGGGGGTGCGGCCGGCGCAGTGCGCCGCGCATCAGCCCCGGTCGCGCATCGCGCCGAGCAGGGCCTCCTGCCAGGGGCCGCGGCGCCCTGGGTTTCCTCCTCCTCCTCCTCCCCTCCTACTCCTCCTCCTCCTCCTCTTCCTGCTCCTCCTCCTCCTCCTCCTCCTCCTCGACCCCCTCGTCCCTCCTCCTCCTCCTCCTCCTCCTCCTCCTCCTCCTCCTCCTCCTCTCCTCCTTTTCTTCCTCAGTGGAAACATACAGTGGAAGCCCATGTCAAGAAACACCCTGCTTGCCTCCAGGGTGCCCTGTGCTTCTTGGGTGTCGAGGGTTTTGCCGTGGAAAGCGTTACGATCCCACGCCAAAAGTCAGTGGACGTCCTGGGGCCTCAGGGTTGGGTCTCTCGTGGAAGGTCTCTTGTGGACGGGCCTCCACTGTATGAAGGCTGTTTTGTTTTGTCCGTTTTCAGGCTTGGCGTTTTCTTTCCGTGCTGGGCGCCGCGGATGGGGCGGGACGGAGGCGCCGAGGAGGTCCAAGGGGGGGGTCACAACAGGGGCTCGACCACAAGAAAGCCTGCACGAGAGACCCAACCCGGAGACTCCAGGACGTCCATCGGCTTTTGGCGTGGAAGCGTCACGCTTTCCGGGGCAAAGCCCTCGGGACCCGAGAAAACCAAGGCACTCTGGAGGCGAGCAAGGTGCGAGCAGGGTGTTTCTTGGCATAGGCCTCCACTGTATGTTGCATCCTCGGGGGATCTTGTCTGTCCCGTCGCGGCCCTGAACCGAATCCGCGTCGACTCCACGTCGGCCTCGTCGGATCCGCGTCGAATCCGCGTCAGATCTGGCCGAATCCACGCAAAATCTGTGTCGAGGCATGCGGCTACAGGCGTGCATGACAGCAGTCGCACGCACTGTGCCAATTTCGCACAGCAAGCTCCCACAGCAGTCCGACTCCGCAGCGGTCCGGCTCCACAGTCCGACCTCAAAGGGCGCCTCCTCACTGTGGGCCTGCCGAATCCCACTTCGACATGCGAGCAGACCCAGCCCGACCCACCACGGGTAGTCCTATGACGCTGCATAGACCGCCCGGTGACCACACCACACAGCACAAGCAGACCTACGAAACTTCCCGAGCCGACTGTCGTCTCAACACGGCCAGCCCCACGACGACGTTGCCCGTGTAGTCACATGACGATAAGCGAGCAGGCCAACCGCGAGACACGTCGTCGGCGTCGGTGTCGTCGGCGTTGTCGCCGCCAGAGCAACTAACCGACGACGCAGCCAGTGCAGATCTTCGCCCCTACGAGGCCATCTCCGCCATCTGGGCAAGAAACTTCGAAACCGTTGAAAACGCTCGGGCGATCCTAGTTCCGGGCGTTCTATGTACCGAGCGCGAGGCCGAGCAATTATGCGTCGAAGATGAAGCCTCCCATGGCGAGCATTTCACCCGATGCGACAGCGTCGTGATCATTGACCCGTCCAGGCCCCATTGGGGACACAATGGCACCGTCCTGAACCCGCGATGCGACGCCGCCGTCGTTCAGCTCGACGACGGCCTCACGGTCGCTGTGCGGCACTTCGGCGTGGCTTCGTTCTGCGAATCATGCGACGACAGCGACGATGATGACGACCCTAACCTGATTGAGGACGACGTCGGCGCTGACCTCGTGTGGCGGCGTTCGGAGGGAGAGACTGCTCAAAAAGGCGAGCAGGTCACGCTTACCGACCCGCCCACCCTGCACATTGGACACACCGACATGGTCATGGACGTTTCCAGCGAACGCATCGCCGTCCAGCTCGCCGACGGCCTCACGGTCTTCATGCGCCTCTCCGACGTGATCGGCTTTGGGTCGACGTTCTTCGCCCGTGGCGACGACGACCACGCTGGCCCTGCTAATATCCTCTCTACTCTTGGCCAGGACACCCTGTGCGCCTCTTTCCCTTTCCAGCTCACCCTGTCGACCAACACAATAACTGACGCAGCGTTTGGGCCAGCAGCGGTGCACCCGTAAACCTGCAGCAGCCTTCCCGCTAACACTTGGCCGACAGCCTCGGGTTTTTTCCCTGGCATCCCCGAAGCGCCTGGCCACACCCCCTCCTCTTCCTCCTCCCCCTGCCCACCCACGCTTGGGCCCACGCGAAGGAGGAAGGACGAGGAGGAAGGTGGCGACGGGGATGTGATCGACGACGTTGGCCGCGAGCAGGTCGTGCTCGACGCTGCCCCCATGCCGCCGCGACCATGTGCGACCGCGAACAGCCCCACGACACTGAAACGGCCGGTGGTCACGCTGTTGGCGTGCCGGCCTCACTCGTGCGACCAGCCGTCGCGACCACGCCAGGGCGACTCCACGGCCGTCCAACTCCACAGCCCGACTACACAGCGCGCACACAATCCGACTCCTTAGCAGACCGACTACACAGGCGGACCCCCCACAGTCCGACTCCAAATTCCGACCCATGACCAGCCGATTCCACAATCCGACCGCCCACAATCCGACTCCGCAGCAGACGCTTCTGCTACTGCGTCGTCGCAGCAAGGGGGCCGCTCGCAGGAGGCTGGCGGCGGGGATGTAACCGACGACGTTGGCCTCGAGCAGGTCGTGCTCGACGCCGCCCCGCACGCCGCCGCGGCAATGTGCGACCGCGAACGCCCCCACGACACCGACACGGTCGGTGGGGACGCTGTTGGCGTTCCGACCTCAGTCGCACGACCAGCCGTCGCGGCCACGCCAGGGCCCCAGGGCGACTCCACGGCCGTCCGACTCCACAGTCCGACTACACAACGCGCACACAATCCGACCCCACAGCAGACCGTCGAATTTACCATCTCTGACGGCCCCGCTGCATCGGGCGTGCCGCTTCCTTGCCTCACCAGGGCGCTGCCTCTCTGTGTGAGCCGCACCAACAACACGTGTTGCGGTGCTGACGCCTGCCACTGGTGCCAACCGCATGCGCCCGCTGGCGCCGTGCGTGTTTCACACCGCTTTCTTGTACTATAGTCGTATGACGGTGCGTCCTTTGCCGCCCACTGTTGAACATTTCTGTTTTACACTGCGTGCTTCTCTGTGCCATGCATGCCCGCTTTGGGACCCACCATGGCCGTAGACCCCACTTCTCGCCAGCCCGATTGCCCGCGCGGCCACGCGTCATCGGGGCCTGGTTGCGGCGGCGGGGGACGCCCCGTCGTTCGCAAGCTGCGTAACGGCCAAGCCCTTGTCCCCCGGCCGCCAAACGGGGCTTCGCTGACCTGGGCCCTTTTCATTCGCGGGGCGCCGAGAGACTTGGCGTTTCGCCTGCTCAAAACCCCGTCACTTGCCTCAGTCACTTTGCGCCAGGGTCTGGTTGTTTCAACACTCCCCGTACTTTAAGGTGTGCACCGCCGCAAAGAGAGCGATGGCGGCCTCGGCTACCGCAGTAGCTGGCTGTCGACGGGCCCCCTGTCCGGTCTCCCTCTTTCTCTCTCGCACACTCTCTGTCTCTTTCTCTCTCTCTCTCTCTGCCTCTTCCTTTGTGTGCGCGCGTGTGTTTACCTGTTTCTCTCTCTCTCTCTCTTTCTCTCTCTCTCCCTCCCTCCCTCCCGTGCGCTGCGCAAGCAAAACCATACGTCGCTGGTGAGTGTATGAAGGTAAACGATCAAAACCCAGGGCTACCCGCCCATTCCCTGATGGAATCAGCTACAGGCTTCTCCGCGCCACTTCCCGATGAGACTGGACGTGGAGGGGGACAGGAGAAGGGCAGAGGAGGGAGGAGCCAGTAGGGCAGAGGGAAGAGAGGAGGGAGGGAGGGATGGCGAGAGTTGGCAAGGGGGGGATGGGAGGGCTGGCCCCTCCTCGATGGAGGTGTGCTCTTGAGCCGACTATGCTTTGGCCCACCGCTCGCGCGCAAGCCCTGCACCGCAGGCCACCCGCTGCCCCAGACACCCCTTCTGTCCCCTCGGTGAGAAAGGAAGTAATTGAAGACGGAGGGGACGGATCCATCACCCGTGCCCACAGGTCGAGATCTCTGCACCCTGCACCGCAAGGCCGGAGCGGGTGGACAGATACAGTCGTCGGACTACTGGCCGACTCGGCCTCCTCATGCCCAGCGCCGCCGAGCTCCGACGGGCGTTACTCGAAGGAGGAGGACGGTGAGAAGGAGAGGAGCGGGGAGGTGGGCGGCAACGGCAGCAAGCGAGCAAAGGAGCAGGCAACGGGCGGGAAGCAGATGCGGCCGCGGGCGGGAAACGGAGGCGAGCGCGGTCGTCGGTGCAGGGTCGGCCACGACGACCGAGGAAACGAACGGGGAAGACGGCTTGACGCACGAGGACAGATCCGTGTCAGAAGGATCCTCGGGTGTTGAACGGCAAAAGCCTGGCGGGCCTCGGTTGCGCCTTTGCGCCAGAGGAGCGCCGGAGGACGGACCAAAGGGTGGGCCCAAGAAACATCCAGCGCCTTCCGAAACCGAACTGGACCTCATCCCACAGCTTTGGCTGCAGTGGTGGTGGTGAGGAGGAGTGGGAGGGTCCTCGAGGTGCTGCTTGACCTCCTTCGAGTCGGACAGGTCCTTTCTGTCTACCTGTGCCCCACGGCACGGCTCTCCGACTCCTCCTCCTCCTCCTCCTCACTTCTCCTCCTCCTCCTCCTCCTTCTCCTCCTCCTCCTTCTCCTCCTCACTTCCCTTGACCTCACCTCCCTTGTCCTCCTCCCTCGTTTTCCTCCTCCTCCTCCTCCTCCTCCTCCATCCCGTGTCTTGGTAACTAACTCTTCCTTGCCGCACCCAGAGACGACCGGTAGGGCGGGCCGGGCGTTTCGCCTGAGACTTCGTCACCGTTTACGATCGTGACTTGTGGCATTCGCAACGCTTGCACGGATGCAGGGCGGGCCGTTTTCATTTGTGGCCCTCGCACTCGCGCCGCGCAATATCATGTTCAACAGCTGCAAGAGCCTCACGGGTGGAGGGCGGGTCGTTTGCAAAATATGGCAATCGCCCTAGCGCCGCGCGCCCTCGTCTTAAACACTGCAGCAGCTTCAGGGCATGGAGGGCGGGTGGCTTTCGAAATGTGGCTCTCGCCTGGGCGCCACACACATCATTTCCAGCACGTTTGCAGCAGCTTCGCGGATGTTGAGAGGCATGAATTTTCAGACTCTAGCTCTCGCCTGAGTGCCGCGCACATTCGTCTTGAAACTCCACGACAGTTCCAAGGACTCCCATGTTCGAATTCCCAGAAGTGGTGTTCCAACAAAATTTGAGATCGTGAAGACGCAGCGGTCACGTGATTCGCGCTGTTCAAACCCAAGGAACAGTGTTCTGGCAAGATTTCGGACCGTCCGGATGCAACAATCACGTTGGTTTGGTATGCCGAAATCCTAAGAATAGTAGTTTGGCACGGTTCGCGATCGTCAGGACGCAACGCTCACGATGTTCCGCAACGCTGAAGTCGCATGAACGGTGTTTTGGCGCGTGCGAGGATGCTCAGACGTTTGTCTCCCCATGGGGCGTCCACTCCGATGAAGCTAAGTTCTTGTAGGGCCCTCTGGAGAGGGAACTTGAAGGGAGGGTTTATTGATGCGTCTTGGGTTTACCTTGGTCCTCCTCCTCATCCTCATCCCCCGCTCGTCCGCATCGCCCTCCATGCTTATGCTGCCCGAGCAGGTGCCCGTAAACGCCCGCTCCCCCTGCTGCTGCTCCTCCCCGGGCTGCTGCCCGTCCTCCTTCTCATCCTAGCCCAAACTACTCGCACTGCCCGAATACCTCCTCGACCTCCTCACTGTCATTCCTCTTCTCCCCCTCCTCCTCGCAACACTCCTCCACGCAACTCGTCTAGGAACCCCGAACCCCCCAAAACAAATCTCCGCTGGGGAAACCAGAAGGTACTGCTACCGCTGCCCCCCGGACCTCTGCAGGGGCGTGTTCTGACCAGGATTTCGAGGCGAACCCAGCGGTGCCGACGAGGGTCGTCCAGAAGGCCCCCAAAAGAGGGAGCACTAAGGAAGGGCAGCGGGTATGGGGTACCCTCCCGCGGTTCCCCCAGTTGCGCCCCCTGGGGGCCAAGCAAAAGCAAAAGCAAAGGCAACAGTGAAGGCAAAAGCGAAGGCAAAGCAAAAGCATAGCATAGCATATCATAGCATAGCATCGCATAGCGCAGCATAACATAGCGCAGCATATATTAGCATAGCATCGCATAGCATAGCCTAGGCTAGCCTAGCCCAGCATAGCATTGCGCAGCATAGCATAGCATAGCATAGCATAGCATAGCATATCATAGCATAACATAGCATAGCGCAACTCCTAGGTAGGGTCGCACTGAGATAATAGTTTCTCTCTCTATATCCCTCTCTGGGTTTATTTATACACACGTATACACATATCCATATATCGTTCTCAACTCCTTCTCTGCTTATTATGATTGGCTTTTGTTTCTCTCTCTCTCTCTCTCTCCTATCTCTCTCTCTCTCTTTTCTCTCTCTCTCTGTCCCTGTCTCTGTACATCGATGTACGAATCTACACACATACACACATATATATATGTGTGTGTCTCTCTGCAAATATACATTTATCAGACTGAGGGGGCCTAACTGTCACTAACTGTCCCTGGGTGCGTGGCTGCAGTGGGACTGCGGCGCGGACTCTGCGTGTTGTTGTTGCGTTGCGCTGTTGTTGTTCGCCGTCCCCCCCGCGACCCTGCTCGCGACACACACCTGCGACCCACTCACGACCCACCCGTGACTCACCCGCGACCCACCCGCGACCCACCCGCGGCCCACCCCGCGGCCCTCCCGCGCCCTCCCACCCGCGACCCTTCCGCGACCCACCCGTGACACGGCCCGCGAGCCACCCGACCCACCCGCGACCCAACCGCGTCCCACCCGCGACCCACCCGCAACCCGCCCACTTTGCTTTAACGAGAAAATCGGCGCCTGCGGCGGGCGCGTTGTATAAATTGTGAAAATCAAGCGCCTGCGGCGGGCTTCTGCAAAGCCTCGCAGACTTCCGACGCCACCGCCGCACCCTCAAATTTATCCGCAACTGCGGGGTAGTATATATATATATATATATATATATATATATATATACACATATTCCTCTTTCTATATTTTTACAAGCCCGGGCGGGGGGAAAACCCGTCCCCCCCAAAAAACCGGACTCCTACCTAGGATCTGGGGCTTTGAGACCCTCCAGGCGGGCCTCGAAGCGGACCCCGGGCATCGCAGGGCGTTTTGCCAAGCCTTCCCAGCACACCTAGGGCGATCAGGGGGGTCATAGGAGACGTCCCAGAGACCCCCAAGACAGCACAAGAGCGCTCCAAGAGTGACCGACGTGACCTCAAGATCGCCCAAGAGGCCTCCAGGACGACCCCAAAGAGGCCTCCAAGAGCACTCCCAAGAAGGCCCCAAGAGACACAAATCCTTGATTTTCTTTTGGTTTTTGGTTAATTTGGGGGTTTTCCTCTTTTCGGCTTCCCGACGCTCCAAGACGGCGGTCTTCTGGGCGTCTGAAGCCGCCTGGGAGGCTCCAAAATCGCCCCACAACCATCTGAAAGGGTTTCCAAGCAGTCCAAGAGAGCCCCAAAACGGCACAACACGGGTCCAAGATGGCCCTCAGAGAGCCCCATGGCGGCCCAAGATGGCCCCAAGACACCCTCCGAAGCATTCTAAATCGTGACCCTGTCGTTCAGGCGGACCGCGGTTGGAGGCAGGGTGGCCCGAGGAAGCCCCCAGAGGCCCCCAGAATACGCCCAGGAGGCCTCCAGAAGGCCTTAAGAAAGCCTGATACAACTTTTGTGAAGCCCCCAGAGGCTCGCCAAGGAGAAGCCTCATCAAAACAGAGTCGAGGAGGATGGGGAGAATGCGCGGGGTATGGCGAACATGAGGAAAAAGGAGCGTGGAGGAAGGATCACGAATAACATCATTATAGCGGCGATGCCGGAAAAGGCAGCAAGGAGTTATCGCTAAATTGTCGGCTTGACTTTCCTGCGATTCCGCCTGCATACCAAACTTCAAGGACCAAGGTGCATGGCGCAAAGCGCCATTACAGTCTTGCACATCTATAAATATATATATAAATGTGTTTTGGGAGTGTGTGTGTGTGTGTGTACGTGCATACGTATGTCTGCATGTCTGTATATCAAGTAGTCTGCCTGTATGTCTGTGTATATGTGTAAGTATGTATACATATACATACGTACCACTACCACGCATTGCCTGCACACCCTCTGGTTTGATCTGCCCTCTGTTCTCTAACCTCGAGTTTCGATCTTTCTGGTGAACAATGTGTTCTGCTATCCGAAATGTTGTTATTCAACATGTTTTCTCTACGTTCTACGATATTGACTCACATCCTGACCCTGCGCGCAAGCGCACAGAAAAGCTCGAGAACCGAAAGACTCCAGCGCACCATAAACCTTGGACCTGGAACCAAGAACCTGGGAGCCCGTCCGCCCACCAAGATCTGCCCGGAACCCAAAACCAGGAGCCTTAGAACTCGGCCGCCCATCGAAATCGGCCCCGCCACTTTCGCCTACACTTCCAGTCGCCACCAGGACCCCCGCAGTGCACCCGCTGATTGGGGAACTGGTCAGAGCTATTGCCCTCTACGTTATAAATTACCCCATGCCTCTCTCTCTCTGTCTGTACGCTTGTACATGTCAGTACACATGTGAGCTATGTGTATCTACATATGAGTATTAACAGTACACCTACGATGTATATATATATATATCATTCTCTCTCTCTCTCTCTCCCTACTCGGTCTCTCTTTCTCTCTCGGTATATATGTACATCAACACATATAGATCAAGCCAACTATGCTCTCGTTTGCCCTTATATGTATCTAGACATGGCGCTGTGGGAGACATTGTCCCTTCATCTCTTTGGGTCGCATATTTTACTTCTGCCGCCTTCCGCCTGCCTTCAGCCAGTGGAGGCGGTGACAGCTCCTTCTATCCTCAAAGCCAAGGCCCTTGTTGGAACACCCCGCATATACTTAAGTTGATCAGCCATGGTATCTCTCGCCTGCTCACTACTAAATAGTATGTATTCTTCACTTCATACAACCTACTATATGATTCTGACAAGGGTCGCATGGACCTTGGCACTTGGCCGCAACCAAAAATTTGAAACCTGGGTACCTCACCACGCTGGGACCTCTGAGCCCGGAATGGAGAGCCTGGGAACCTGGCCGCCCACCGAAATTGGACCGGACCCCAGAATCACCACGGAACCGAGAACCAATAACCGGGGAACAAGGCCGCCTACCGCAATTGGCGCTGCGCCTTCGTCTACTCTTCCCAGATCCACTAGGACTCCTTCAGTGCATGCACTACTTGGGAACATCGTCGGCTCTCCCCCCTTTGATCGCCATCGCCTCGTAGCCGCCTCGCTGTCGACGACGACGGCGACGGTGACACGACGGCGACGACGACGACGACGGCGACGGCGACAACGACGACTATTGGCGATGGAGGCGACGACGATGGCGACGACGACAGCGACGGCGACGACGACGACAGCCGGCCTGCCCCGCGTCGCGCAGCAGGCGCCCCAGCCGCAACAGCGCCACAGCGCGCCGGTGGCGCAGCTGCCAGGGCACGCTGCAGTCCTTCAGCACCTGTGCGCGCGCCCATGATTAGAGGATGGAAACAACGCGTGATTTGAGGAACGAAGAAAGGCATAAACATAAACTCTCGAAGGGGTCGCGCGGGTTTCTTGGATCTGTGCTGAGAACCGAAATGTTCAATGTATGTTGATTCTCATTCTTCGAATGACCGAGGATTGACAGGACCCTCTTTTAGCAAAACGCCCTTTCATGAACGCTGCCAGGGGCACTCTACGTGCGCACGGCGCCGCGAGGCGAATCGACGTCCAACAAAAACAAATCGATCCGGCGAGACACACGTCGAGTAAGGAAACCGACCAGAGTTTGCACCAACACGCTCGAATACCAACGTCGAGCGAAACCGGCAGACTTCCTCGGTAGATCTGTCTGCGGGGGGCGTCCTGTCAGTGCCCGACATGAGCCCAGCAACGCACCCTCGTAGCAGCGAAGGTGAGGAGGCGGGTCGCGGAGTTGAAGATCGGCTAGTGAGAACGTGCACTCCCAGATACTCCTGTGCGTTCCAAGGAAATACAGGAAGTGCGGCCGCATGTGGGAGTGGAAGCCTGGCAACACGATGAGCCGTAAATGTGGCAGTGCGTGCCCTTTTGTGCAAGGCCCGTGCGCGGGATTGGAATTGGGACAGAACGGCGAGCAGAAGAACCAACAGAGCACGGCTAAGTGCACCGCAGTGCATCTGTTACGACGAACCGTGGCCGTCCGACCAAGAACTGTAGCTGGCAGTGCGGCAAGCGCACGACCCGTGGTATCCTTAGCAAGCTGTGAAGGAGGTCTCAAGCGAGACCGCCGCCGGACCGCTGCTGGGCAAGGCAACCTTGGCTCCGCGTCCCCCCCCATGGATCTCTCGGGTTGCCAGTTTGCACCTCCAGTTAAGACTGTCTCACGAGACGCGACTCAGATAACAAAGAGGGAACACTCGTCGTTCCCTACTAATCGTGCTCATTTCTAATTGTGCTCGTTTCTAATTGTTCCTGGCCCCCTAGTGGCCAGGGGGAGGCCCCTAGTATCTTGGCCCCCCAAAGAATCAAACGAACGCGAAAAATTAGAAATGACCCATGTGTAGACGCGAACTGTCGGAGGTCCGATGTTTTGCTCCCGGATCTGCGATGCGTCCCCCCTTCCTGGCGCGTGGGGAAGGCGCGCCGGGAAGGGCGGCGCGGGAGGCGCCGCCACGGCAGCCCGACGCAGGTCTTTAAGACGTCCGCGCGAGGCTCGGGACGTCTTGTGCTCAAACAGCAGGTGCGAATCGCGGGCGCAGCGAGGACCTCGCCTCGAGGACCTCGCTGCGAGGATCGAGGACGCACGTGTGAGAGGATCTCTCGCACGCTTCGAGGCTCGAGGAGAGCGGCCAAAGGACGCGAGAGCTCTCACTCCGAGGCTCCGTCTTCTGCTGCGAAGGCTCTCCTGCTGCATCGTCCAGACCTTCGAGGGCGGAGAGGCCAGGCCCGAGGATCGAGGGTCCAGGCCCCCGGGGGCCGATGCTGCTGGGCGTCTCTGGGGCCCTCCCTTTCGAGTGCCTCCGGCCGGGCACGGCCAGGACGACCCTCGAGGACGCTTCTGCCAAAGACGACGAGGACGACGACGAGGCCGAGGAGGACATCGACGGCTCCGATTCGCGAGCACGACGGACTCTCACGACCTCGGACCGACCGTCGACCGCTTCGGACGGGTCGCAGCCAGCTGAGATCGGTCCGAAGCGGTTGCGACGTCTGGGGGGCGCTTCAAAAAGGTTTCCAACAATATGCCCTCCAACTGGATGCAGTGAGCTTCCTTCAGCTACCCGAGGAACATCTGGAAAAGCGGTCTCGATCCGCCCGATCGCCAACCGCTCACCATCTTCATCATCAGCACCATCATCATAGTTATCAGTATCATCATCACCAGCATCATCATTATAATCTGCATCATCATCACCACCATCATCACAATCACCATCACCATCACCACCATCATCATCAACATCATCATCAATAGCATCACCATCAGCAACAGCCTCATCGGCATGCTGTATCCTCATTATGTTTCTTCTTGTCCTCACTGCCCCACGTGTTCCTTCAATTTCTTCTCCTCCTCCTGACGCATCATTCCCATCTCCTCCCCACGTGCCCCGTTTCGCCCTCCTTATCCCCATCGGCATCATCGTCATCATCACCCTCCTTCGCACCATCGCCATCATTTGCAGCATCACCATCCTCCTGATCAACATCATCATCATCACCAGCGTCAGCATCATCATCAGCACCATGCTTATCGTCATCACCGTCATAATCATCATCATAATCATCAGCCTCCTCCTCATCATCATCATCATCATCATCATCATCATCATCACCATCATCATCCACAACATCATGATAAGCAGCATCACCATCATCACCATCATCACCATCATCACCATCATCACCATCATCATCATCATCATCATCATCATCATTAACATCGTCATTTCCACAATCTTCCCCACTCCTCCTGCAAACTGTCATCCGTCTCCTCCCTTCCTCTCTCCCTCCCTCCCTGCCTTCTTCCCTCCCTCCCACTCCTCCTCCTCCTACACCTCCCTACCCTCCCACTCCCCTCGGGCGGCGGCACGCGCGCGAGAGAAAGAGAGAGAGAACAAAAAAAAAGAGCACAGCGACGATGGACCACTGACGACGGACGACTGACGAGTGGCAGCGCGACCACGACGGAGAACGCAAGAGGAATGGCGACGCCATCGGGCGACGACGACCATGGCGTCCCCTGGTCCCGGAGGCCCGCTTCGCCCTGGAGGCCCCCCCCGGAGGCCTCGGGCCCCAGGGCGCCCCGGAAGAAGCGGGGCCACGAGCCAGAGCGCCGACAGACAAGAGGGGGGCGGCACGTCCGTGCCCGAGGCCCCTCGCATGGGCATCCTCTCCGGATGAGCTGGTGGGGATCTTCGGAGCGCCACCAACTTCCAAGGCAACGCTTGCCTGTGCGGGACTCTGCTTCACGGAACCATGGTTGCCCCAGGGTGTCGCATGGGCGCCAAATGAGGTTACGGATGGCCACCCGCACTGCTGGCGCCACGCGTATTGCATCACGGGCGTAACACTGACACTGCTTGGGGCCCACTTCATAACATTTTTTGGGGGTGGCGACGGGGGGGCCTCTGCCGCGTGTAAGCTCATGCCAGCGACGCGCGAACCTCAACCGCTGGGCCCTAGGGCCGCTGGCCAGGGGCGGTGGCGTTACAGCGGCCCCTTCGAGGCGAGCGGCCGCTTCAAGGCGAGCGGCCTCGCTGACGCGAAGGACGCCGGAGCAGGGCGGGTTGGGACAGCGGCGGCTGGCAACCGATCCCCAGACCCCAGACCCCTTCAGAGGTCCGTGCTTTTCTGTCCCCATTCATTCCGGGCGGCGTCCAGCCGCGGCGACCAGGGGGCCCACGACGGCGAACGACCGTAGCCTCGAACGGCCCGCCCACGAGAACGACCCCTGCGGGGCCGACGCGGTTGGGGCTGTCGTGAGGGAGCGAGAGAGGAAGGATGGTGAGGATGACGAACACATGCGTCGCTCTTAGTACGGCTAACATGATGTAATATGAAGAATGCGTCACGAATCGTCGAGAATCGAGAACCCTCCACGAATCGTCAAGAATCCGACAGACCCGCAAGATTCTCCAGGAGTTCTTAATCGTCCCTGAAGAATCCTCTACTGCCCATCGGGAATCCCTCAAGAATCATCCGAAAGAATCTCTCAAAATTCCTGAAAGGTCCCTTCAAGAATCCTTAAATAGTGCCTCTGGAATCCCTCCAGAGTCCCTCAGGAATCCCTCCAAAGTCACTCAGGAGTCCTTCGGGAATTCCTCAAGAATCCACTAGGAATCCGTCCAGAGTCCCTCAAGAACCCCCTGGGGATCCCTGCAGAGCTTTTCGGGGATCCCTGAGGAATCCGTGGGGCATCCTTGTTAAGAATCCGTCAGGAATCGTTCAAGATTCATTACGGAATCCATGAAGAATTCTTCAAGAATTCCTCAGAACCCAGAAGAATCTGCTGGAATCTTTTAGGGATCCTCAGCCAGGAACCCTCAGGGATCTTTCAGGATCCTTCAGGATTGTCTCGGGAATCCTCAAGAATACTTCAGGAAGCCCCTGGGATCCTGCAAGAATCCCCAATGAACTTTCAAGAGCCGTCAACAATCTGTCCAGAATCCGCAAGGTTCCATCGGGAATCCTCAGGAATCCCCCAGGAATCCTCGAAACGCTGGGAAGCTGAAGCAAGCTTCCTTGATTGTTATCCGGCGTTCGCTTTGGATTGCAATATAAATCCGACACGTTGCGATCAGTCAAATTCCAGTGGTTGTAGTCGGTACGAAGTTGTTCGTGAACGGTCCGAAGAGGTTGGATTCGGTCTTACTCTCCCCTGCCCGCTGCACTCCCTGTCATGCTCTGCCCTTCCTCCTCCCCGTCCTCCCACCCCACCCCGCGCCTTCCCCACCCCCACCTCCTCCTCCCGCTTCTTCCCCTTTCTCTCCTCCTCCTCCTCCTCCTCCTCCTCCTCCACCTCCTCCGCCTTTTGCTTATTGCGCCGGTGTGCCGCCAGCCCTGGCAGGCCCTTTCCGGCAGACTGAAGGACGCCGTTGAACAAATACACTCCTCCCCCGGTGGTCTGCCAACGACTCAGCGACCTTGGGGGAGACGTAGGACTCGGGTTCGGGACACTCGGGTTGGCCTGGCAGGGACATCATGAAACTGACGAAACCCAGTCTGCAATTTGACGCGAGCTCCCGCTGCAGACATCCCACGAAAACTGGACCCTCAGAATCCAGGACGCGCTCGTCAAAAAGCGTCGGCAAGCCCGGGCTCCGGCGCACTCGAGGATTACGTTTCCCCGAAACCTCCCGAGGCCTGCCCGAGGTCAGGGCGAGCAGGGCAAGGAGGGGCTGAGCAATCGCTGGCGCTGAGCCCTTCTCTGCGCCGCCAGCGCCACCGCCCCACTTACGCGGGCGCAGAGTCGTCGTGGTCGTCGTCGTCGTCGTCGTCGTCGTCGTCGTCGTCGCCGCCGCCGCCGCCGTCGCCGTCGCCGTCGCCGTCGCCGTCGCCGTCGCCGTCGCTGTCGCCGTCGCCTCGCCGCCCCTTTAACGGGCGCGTCGTCGTCGTCGTCGTCGTCGCCTCGCCGCGGGCGAGCCCCCCTTAAACGGGCGCGTCGTCGTCGTTGTCGTCGTCGTCGCCACGCCGCAGGCCAGCCCCCTCGCCACCGTGCTCGTCGTCAGGGCCTGGCCCTCCCTGGGCAGAGTCGCAACCATGAGGCTGCGCGCTCAACAACGACCTTCGCAATCCGCCTCGGGTTGCCATACGCCAGCATGGCACCGACCCCCGCTTGGACCGCAATCGCGCCACGGAGACCGCGCTGACCTCGCGGAGGAGATCCGAGCCGGAGACCGGCGAAGAAAGCTCGAGCAGCCTGGTCACCCACCTGTCGAACACTGCGTCGAGCCCGGCCTCCAACTCGTCGCGCGCAAGAACCATGGCGGCCCCGCGGCACTCGAGCGGCCGGCCGGGCGCGCAAGGACGCGAGGGCCGCTCGAGGCGGGAGCCCCGCGAGCTCGATGTCCAGGAAGTGTGCTGTCCCGCACCGTCTGTCGAGTGCGCCGCAGTGGGAGGCCAAGAAGGACGGGGGGGGGGCTGCGCACCATGACACCACGAACTTGCGCGGACGAGGTGGGGGGGGGCCAGGCAGCGTGTTGAATTAAGTCGTGCCTGTCCCCCTACAGGGGTATTTTCGACGAAAAATAATACATACCCGAAAAATTGTCTGGGGACATTTTAGAGGTATGACTTATTTTTCGTCGAAAATCCCCCTGGAGCGGGACGGGCCCGACTTAAGTGTTGAAAGATAAGGAGGGGGCCATGGCATCTGGGACCTACCACGGCTGACCACGGCCGCGACATCCCCCCCACTCCCCCGCGGCCGGGACGCCCCCCGAATCTGAGCGCGACGCCCGAGCGCTGCTTCCGGAGCCACCTCACATCCTCGCCCCAGGGTCGACGGGGATTCCCGGCGCGGCGCGCTGCTCGAGAAAGCGGACGTCCTCACGAGGGCCCCGCGAACGAGACCTGGCGGTGTTCTTCCCTTTTATGCCGCCTTTCCCTCGCCCCCTTTCGCTCCCCGCCCCTGCCTGCCCGAGGAGCAGTCCATCGAAGGCGATCGCACGTTCGTCTGGGTGCCGGAGGCACGGGCCAAGTTTTCCGCCCCGAGTTCTAGATTGGCACGGCCTTCGGGCCGATCGGGAGTGGCGTAGCGCACCGCCACCCCCCCCCCACCCGCGGAAGCTTGCGACGGCGTCATCCGATGGCAGCGGCGGCATCCAGGACAGGGCATCGGCCGGCGCGCGCGCGCCGGGGCCAGGCACTCGACGCCGCCCCAGCCGCGCTGGCCTGGCGATCCACGCAACAACCAGGGGGGGTGCACCGGAGGACATCTGGTCGGGCATCGTCGGCCTCTGCTAATGGCATGCAGGCGGTGGGCGAGCGCTGCCTCCGCAGGCCGGCGGAGGCCCACGCCGGCGTGTCGAGGCGGGCCCGATAAGTTGCTGAGCCACTGCGCAGTGCAACAACAGAGCTGTAACAAACAAACAACCTGTGCCAGCCGTCTGAGCTACGCGAGCCTTTACGTGGACTGCGGATTCCTGGGCGATGCCTCCTCCTCCTCCTCCTCCTCCTCCTCTTCCTCCTCCTCCTCCTCCTCCTCCTCCTCCTCCTCCTCCTCCTCCTCCTCTTGTCCAAGTCCCTCCCCCTTCTTCTCCCCTCCTCCTCCCCTCCGTCGCTTCCCATACCCTCTCAATTCCGATCCTCGTCACCCTCCTCCCCTCCCTCCTCTCCTCCTCCTCCTCCTCCTTGCCCGCCAGTTCCCCTCCTCCTCCTCCTCCTCCTCCTTCTCCTCTTCCTTATCCTCCTCCTCCTCCTTCTCCTCCTCCTCCGTTTTCTCCTCTCATCCTTCTCCTCCTCCCCCTCCATCTCCTCCTCCTCTTCCTCCTCCTCCTCCTCCTCCTCCTCTCCCTTTTCATCCTCCTCCTCCTCCTCCTTCTCCTCCTCCTCCTCCTCCTCCTCCTCCTCCTCCTCCTCCTCCTCCCCCTCCCCTTTTTCATTTTTGTGTTACCCTCTGCCCTTTCGCCGCTCACTTCTCGCTGGTCCGCTCCCCCCTATGCGGGCAGAGCCTTCTCGCAGACGCTCCTCGTCGTGCTTTCAATGTCCAACGCGGAAATGTCCCAGATCGCCTGCGGGAAGGCCCGGCCGATGGCGCGGCAGGAAGAGAGGGGGAGTGGGAAGGGAGAACCAAATGGAGGTTTGGAGAACTGTCAGGGGGAACATGGGAGCAGAAAGGTGGGTAGGTCGGGTGGACGGGGAGGAGTGGGGGCAGGAGAATGAGGGGCTGGTCGGGGATCCAGGGAAAAAGGAGGAGACGGATGATGAGGAGGCGAAGGCGGGAGGAGGGGGGAGATGGAGTGGAGGATAAGGGGGTTGGGTGGGAAGGAGGAGGAGGGGGAGGAGATTTATACGGACCAAGGGAGGGGAAGGGGAGGGTGCGGAAGTGAAGAGGGGACAGGGATAGGGGGAATTGGGGGGGTGAGTAGAAAAGACAGATCTTAGCCGCTGTAGCGCACGGCGGGACGCCGAGCTTCCAAAGAGCAATCTTACATCTTGAGACCTAAGCTCCACCTCGGCTGCTTGAGCTTGAGCCCGGGATTCCACGTGAGAGCCACGCGTGTGTTCGGGGATGCTCAGGGAGGGTGGAAGCGCACATGTCGGCGACCATCGCCCGACACTATTGGTTTGTACTCTGCAGTTCGTTGGCAGTGCAATTATTATTTTGCGCTGTAGTGGCGCTGCTCGAGCTTGAGCTCAGGACTCCGCGGAGGAGCCAAGCGTGGTTTGAGGACGCCAAGGGAGGGTTGAAAAGCGCACATGTCGACGACCACCACACGAAACTCGTTTGCATTGTGAGTTTGTCTGCGTTGCAGCTGCTTCAGCGCTGCATGGTTTGATTTGCGCTGCTCGAGCTTGACCTCAGCAGCATGGCGCTGCTCGAGTTTGACCTCAGGATTTGGCGGGGGAGCCGAGCGTGGTGTGGGGACGTTCAGGGAGGGCTGGAGGGCACATGTCAGCGAGCACCGCGCAAACACATGTTGATTGTTACGTTGCAGTGATGTTGCCTTGGAAATATTTTGACGTACAGCTGATTACAGCGTAAAAAGAAGCAAGATATGTCCAAGAGGTCCCCAGGAGGGTCCCGAGAGGATTCCAATCTTATCTTGCATTGTAATGTTCGTTTCGTTGGTCTGGTCGGTCTACCTGGCCAGTCTGACTGGCTGGTCTGGCTGGTCTGCCTGTTTCGGTTGGTCTTGCTAGCTGGCCTGCTCGGTCTGGTCTGATCTGGTTTGGTTTGCTGGCTGGTCTAATCTTGCTTGGTCTGCTTGGTCTTGTCTGGTTAAACTGGCGACCGCCTACAGGAGCATTGCATTTGTTGGTCCGTTGCACTTTCTCTTGCTTTGCATGTGTTTGTCTTCGCACTCACGTTCTGTTGATATGTTCTGTCTACCTGGCTTGTCTGACCGGCTGGTCTTGCCGGTCCACCTGGTTCGCTAGTCTTCTGGCTGGTCTCTGTGATCTGGTCTAGATGGGCTGGCTACCGCCTCCAGAAGCATTGCAACTTGTTTTGCATTGCACGTGATTTTGTATGACAAGATTCTGTTGCATTGCAATGCTCGTTTCGCTGGTCTGTTCGGTCTACCTGGCTGGTCTGACCGGCATGTCTACCTGGTCTCCACGGAACGGTAGACTTGCTGTCTGGTCTGCTTGGGCTGGCTACAGCCTGCGGGAGCATTGTAGCTTTGTTTGCATTGCCTGTGTCATGCATCGCAATGTCCTTGCATTGTAATTTTCTTTCTGTTCGTCTGATCGGCCTGCCAGGCTTGTCTGGCCGATCGGTCTTACTAGCTCGTCTGAATGGTCTGGCCTTGTCTGGCTTGCTGGCTGGTCTGATCTAATTGGACTGGCCACCGCCTCCTTGAGCATTGCAGTTCCGTGTGCCTTTCAATTTTCTTTGGTATAGAAGCTTTTTTGGCATTGCAATTCTCATTTTGTGCGTATGGTCGGTCTACGTGGCTGGTCTGACTCGTTGGTCTGCTTGGTCTGCCTGGTTCGGGTGGTCTTGCTAGCTGGTCTGGTTAGTCTGGTCTGGTCTGGGTTGCTGGTTAGTCTGGTTGTTCTGGTCTGCATGAGCTGACTACCGACTTCGGGCACATTGCACTTTGCTGTGCGTTGCAATATGTGCATTGGCCTGATTGTTTGCATTGCACTGTTCGTTATTTTCGTCTGGTCGGTCGACCTCGCTGATCTGACTAGCTGGTCCGGGTGGTCTGCATGGTTCGGGTGGTCTTGCTAGCTGAGGACTAGGGAGAAAAGAGGATCAGGGATAGAAGGGGGAGGGGAGACTTTGCGCCAGAACCCAGGTCCGTTTTTCTGTCCCAAAGCAAAGTTCGGCGCTGGGGCATAAGAACCTTTCGTTTCTACGGTGCCCGGACAAAAAGTGTGCACACCCCTAGCGGTAAGACTATGCATCATGATGGTCATGATGACCACCACAACTGCGAAATGCCATTGCTTCGCACCCCTCCCACTCGAAACCAAAGTTGAAGTGTCCACATTTTGTCCCTGGTCTGTGTCCTATCGCCGTCACCCGTCAACTTTGATTTTTTGGGGAAGGGGAATATACATTCTGGTCCGAAGTGCTTTGATAACTCAAGGTCTTGGCGAGACACGTGTGGACACTTTTAGTCCACCCACCGTAGAGGCTTCGAACGCGACGGCTAGCTGAGAAGACGCAGGGGTGCGGAAGCGTGCGATCAGTAGGGGCACGAGGATTGCAAAGGTATGGCGGAAACGAGGAGGAGGGGGAACTGGGCAGGAGCTGCTGGATTTGGGGGGGAAGAGGGAGAAAGGGAGGAGGAGGAGAAGGAGGAGTAGGAGAGGCCCGAAGAGGATGTTTAGGGAGAGGGAGAACAGAAGGGGGCATGGGAGGAGGAGGAATATGAGGAGGGGGAAGAAGAGGAAGATGAGGAAGAGGAGAAAGAGGAGGAGAAGGGAGGAGCAGAAGAGGAGGACAAGATGGAGGAAGGGGGATGAGGAAAAAGAAGACCTAGGCACTCTGCAAGCAGAGAAGATGACACAAGCATAAGGAGGGTGGCGGCTATGTGTAGGAAGTATAGACGTGTATCTTTTGTTGTAAAAATATATATAGAGATGCCTACGTACATAACTGACAACGCAGGTTATGCTCGTGCATTCGAAGACGACGTTGGCCAGGGGCCATAGCACTTACGAAGTATGTCCACGAGCACATAAAAGTAGCCATGCGGATATGCACCTGTGCAACATCATAGTCAGGCTGTCGCACGCTCCTGGTGTATGTCTATGCGTGGAAGCGCACGTGCGCATGCAGACACACATCTGACTGCATAACGAAGTTTAGACATCTACAACACATCCACACACGCATTGCAATCTCCCACTGCCGCTGTCAGAACGTCCAACCGGCCCAGTGGAGACGAAACCGCGAGCTCGGTGGATGAGGGGCCTCTGGATCCGTCGCATCACAGTTTTTAGCACCCAGTGTGCCACACCGACAAACAAGATGGGGATGAGGAGGGATAGGGGTAGGGCTCTCGGGAAACATGCCAGACCCAGACGTCCGGCGCCCTGCTTCTCCACTTGCGTGTGGATCGGGAACTCTCGACCTCAACGCTCGCACAAACCGCCCCGACGCCGAGCGCCTGGGGTGGGTCCTGGGGCCGAGAAAGGGGGAACCGAAAGGTACTGATACCGCTACTCCCCGGACCTCTCCCAGAGTGCGTTCTGACTACAATTTCGAGGCGAATCCAGCGGTGGCGACGAGGGCCTCCCAGGAGGCTCCAGAAGGGGAAGACGAGGGGCGGGTACCAGTATGGGTACCTCTCCCTCCTCTGAGAGAAGGGCCCCTGGAAGCGAAACTCAGAAAACGCCCCACGCCGACCTGGCTTCACCAGGACGCCAGCTGGCCGGGGTCTGGGACTCCGGCGGCCTTCGAGCCCAACCCCGATCTTGGGGAGGATCGGCAGGTCCAAAATTTATGTTGCATCCTCGGGGGACCTTCTCTGTCCCGTCGCGGCCCTCTCCGCGTCGAATCCGAGTCGAATCCGTGTCGGACTCGTCGGATCTGTGTCGAAACCGTGTCGAATCCGCGTCGGATTCACGCCAAATTCGCGCCGAGTCCGCATGGAGCCCGCGTCGGGCACAAACAAAAAAACAATTGTGGGGACAGGTGAGGCCCACCGAAGATGCAACGTAACAAAATCATGCTCGATCCTCGATCGCCCACCCCTCCTCGATCCTCAATCCTCCTGGGGAGGAGGTGGCGACCCTCGGGGCGGGCGAAGAGGTGGGGGACAGCAGCGTTTGACAAAAAAAAAAAGGTTGGCAGATCAGCTCGCGTGGCTGGCTCCTCTCCACCGCCTCCAGGAGATTTCGTGACCCATTCTGGCCCCGATCCCCCCCCCCACTTCGTCCGACCCGAGATGATTAGAGCGGGACGCACGTTCGACAGACCGCGTGCGACTTTCCTTATCGAGGCCATGCCAGACACTCGGGCAATCCCCGAGCCAGACTTAGCAGGGCTGGGATATACAGTGCTGCAGGACATGCCCATCAAAAGGGGTCGTTTGCGGTGGGGCGCAGGCTGTTCCACAATCGATTCTGCCGTCCCCCGATCACCCACCCGACCGAGAGGACGGTTGGGGAAGGATCGGGAGCGGCCAAGAGGGGGGTGTCCAAGAGGGGGGGGGGCAAATCATGACCGGCGGCATGTGCGCGGCCCAGCGGGGGGGCCAGGGACGTAATGAAATAAGAAGAGGCGCCATGAAATCTGGTGGAATACTATGGCCCACGCCATGATATCCCCCCCCCTAGTCATCACCCCCCTCTTTTCCGCCCCCGAAAGGAGGGATGGGGAGGCGGCGGGCCAACCAAGACAGGACGAGCGGGCCAGAACGGAGACGAGGTGGGGCAGCGGGAGAGGGGGACGAGGCAAGCCGGGTGCGCTCGCGCCACATCTGACATCCGATCCCGCCTTCCCTTCCCCTGCCCATGGCTCCGATTCTTCCCTACCTGCGGATGCGTGCCATAGCCGACCCGGACCTCAAGCAACACAACAAGCGTGCTGTGCGCAGTCGGAAAAGAGCAGCTGCGTACTTGGGAAGAGGGAGGAGAGGAGGATGAGGAAGGAGGAGGACGAGGACTCACAACAGCAGCAAGAGCTAGTGTGGAAGGAGCGGGAGGAGCAGGACGACCAGGGGAAGGCGGAAGGGAGACCAGCGGGGCAACGACGACGAGCAAGGGCCCGGCCGGATCCAGGAAAAATTGGCCCGCGCCGCGGCGAAAGCGCAGTGCTGAACGACGGGAGCGGAATGCCGATCCGAGCGCGCTTGGAACCACCGAACG